ATGAATTTCTATATTAAAATCTAAACTTTTGTGCCAACAAAATTCAGTGAGTTAATGATGAAAATGGATAGCAAAAATTAGGCATAAATTTTAACATTAAAATGAAGAAAATATTTACTTACAATGCCAAATTTTGTACATCTTGAGTGGAAAAGAAAAAGAGTCTTCTTTCATAAAACATTCCAAGTTGTGGTGGTGAAAATTCTAAATTCAATTCAGTTAAATTAGTTAAATTAGAAATAACTTTTAAATTAATATGATGGCAATCTTCTGAATTGTAATTTTTCATTTGATAATCCAACAAATGTGGATCCCTTTCAAAACTATATAATTTCATTGATTTTAATTTTGTAATTTTAATTTTTTTTACCCAAGGATCCAACAATTTCATTAAATTTTCTTCTTTTTCTTCAAACCATTCTTCATAATTTGCATTTTCTAAATAATTGGATAACTTCAATGAGATTGTAATTTCTTTCCAATTAAAATCCTTACAGCTCAATCGCTCTAACGAAATATTGTTTTTATAATTTGAATTTAATTCCCTGTAATATCGTTTCCAATAAATATCAGAATTGATATTTATTATTTCCGTTAAAGTCAAATTAAGTTCGACTTTATTCCAAAATCTTATTTTTGAATTTTCGTCCAAAAATTCATCATAATTGGGTTTTCCTGTATAATTTTTAGCTAAAAAATCAATAACAATGGTTGAAAGTTTTCGAATATTATTTGCATCTTCTTCAAAATAAAAATTTTCGGCTTTTAACTTGCGATTACTTTCACTTGTGATATTTAAGCGTGATTCTAATACCTTGTAAGCATCATAAGTCAATTTTAAACTTTCATAAAAATTAGGAAATTCTAAATAATTATGATTATCTTGTGGATTTTGCAAAAGATGTTTTTTATTTGGTATTAATTGTTCAGAAAATTGAGATTCAAATTCAGCCATTCAAAAAAAAAATTTTTTTTGACTTATGTTCATACATTTGTGTATGTATACTATGGGTAAAAATTATAAGACTTTGAAATTGAAAAGGAAATTTAAAAAAAAATAAATATTGGCTAAGGAAACGAAAATATTTTGATTTATAGTTTTCATTCCTACTGTCAATCAGAAACGAACAAGAATAAAATTAGGAAAACTAAACACTTTTTTTTAATTTTAGGGACACTAACAAGTTTTTAGTTAACATACCTAGAGAAATGTAAATTTTACTCTTAGTAGAGACTCGCTCTTTGCCATCCGAATTACCTGAAGAGTTCGCCAATTAGTTTCGGTAAAAAACAGAACTCAAATATTAAATTTCATAAAACTTCTGTAAACTAGCTCCTTACCATATCTAAGTAAAAAAAGTGAAATCTACACTTAGTTCAGTTTCTGAGCTCAGATATTCCCAAAAAATTTACAAGCTTTAACACCGTGAAACACAACATTGGTTGATTATTTCTCTTTATATGTGCAAGATTAAGAATTTGGCCAGTTACTAGCCCATTATTTCTTTCAAAACCTAGGTGATTTCTTGAACTGTCAAATGAAGTTTATATATAAAATATCAAGTTAATCTGTTGAATACTTTCTTAAATATGATCAAACATGTAAAATCGATCAGTAAAAGCGTTCAGTTCTAGAGGCCTAACATATTCCAAAAGTTTGCAAAGTAAACTCACATATGAATTTTCATCAAAATAGATTTAGTAGAACATGAGATACTTGCGTACCCACACAGACCGACAGATCTACAGAAAGCCAGATCGACTCTTTTACACTTTTATCGAAACATACACTTTTATCGAAAGTTTGACATGCTAAATTTGGTGCCATCACATAACCTCTCTTATTGTATGGAATACGGTCTGTAAGGCTCAGTTAAATTTTAATTAATGAAATACATTAAATAGATTAATAGACCTATTATTTCTGACAATTAGCGGAATTTTCATTTTAGTTCAGTCATAGAATTATAACAACAACACTTCCATATAAAGGCTTAGCTACACTTTCGTACAATTTAAAAAAATAAAAAATATTAGAGAGCTCACTTTTTAGAAAATAACAAGCATTAAGGCTATACAGTTTTAAAAGATTTGATTAAAAATAATTGAACTATTTTTTGACAACATCAAAAAAATTTTTTCATACATCTACACATGTAAATACATAGAAGTTTACATTAATTAAAAGTGGTGATTACAAATAATTACTTTTTTTTATTTAACGGATTTGCTATGCTTTTAATGAAAGAAGTAGTTTGAATAGCAAAAGAAGGTGGCGGTAGTAACAAATTAGCCTTTATATTCGGTGTTGCAATAAAATTTTATAAAACAATGAGAATACGACATCAATTAGGTGGACGAATTAGATAACACGTCCAATATTATTTTATAAGTTATAGTGAGAAAATTTTAAATGAAATACGTGTAGGTATTTTTAAATTAGTACTCAAATATGTTGTTGACTTTTCCTTGTTCGTATAACACATTATTTGTGCGTATGTAGATATAAACATAACGTATTTGTTGGAAACACTAGCAGTTATTTTTATTTCAAAAGTTAATAAATTCACTAATAATGATAATACAAGAATTTTAAGAAATTTCGGCCAAAGTTAATTGAAAGGTTTTACTATATATTGAAGTAAGTAATTTTGGAAAGCACTCGAACATCAATAAAAGTGAAGGAAAATTAAAAAAGGTGGAATAGTTTGCTAACATTGTTTACATGTAAGCAATTCCTTTAAAGAAATTCAAGTACAAGATGTTAATATTAATTTAAAAATCAAATTAAGGACTCAAAAATTGGACACATGTGAAAAAAAAATTAAAAAAAATTTTTGTTTTAGAATTTAACTGCACTCGAACAACCAGTTTGATCACAATATAAAATATAATTCATGCTTAACATGTACATTACATGCGTACATACAATTTACTAGACGAATTTTATAAAAAGATCTATTGGAAAAAAATTACACTTAACCTACATTTAATTCAATAGCAAGATTTTAATATAACCTAAAAAAAAATTTTCAATTGTGTAAGCATGCTAAGTTTTGTCATATTGTCAATTTTTATAAAAAGGAAAAAATTTTTAAATTGGCGAAAAAAAGAAATATTTTTTAAGATAATTTGCTTGAAATTGTTGTTTTGGTTACAAAAGCTGTTTTAGTTTATGAAGTTCAATCTCAATCTAAAATCGAAGTACGTTCGAATATGACAGGACGAAAGTATCATAAATTTGCATACATACATACATTTGTTTTTAATTATTTAAATACGTTTTGTCTTCTTTTAGAAATCAAATAGATTTGTTCGTTAGGGATTACTTCATTGAAAAAATTATTTCTAATCAAATCCAAACATCAGAATAATTAACATTATTTTAAACACACCGTTTAAATACTCTAAAATGGTGCTCATGTAAAAGAAAGACAAAAAAAAATGTTTGGAATTTAAAATGACTTTGAACCACCGATTACAACATAATAACACAAAATATAATTTAAGCTAAATTTGTATAGTTTGGAGGAGTTTTCCACATATAAAAGACAACCTATGTAACAACTCTACGTGCGCATACTTACAAGTGGAAGAAAAATTGTTCTAATCTAATATTATAGGCGATCGCTTTATTCTCATATTATTTGAAAAATAATGAAAAGCTTTGAATCTGGTTCTCTTTTCAAACTGATTGATTTGAAAATTGTTAAATAAGAGTCTTCAATATTCAAATTCCATTTTTTAAAGGAAAATTTCAAGACAGTCTTATCGCGTTTGAAAAAATAATAGTAATTGTATTGGGTTTAAATTTTATCGACATTAGCAAAATTTTTTAGATTTTTTACTTTGTAAAGAACTATATTTTATCCTTACTTTAATGAATAACTTTAAAGATATTTTTTAAAAATTTCTAGTAAAGGGAATGAGTTATGTTATTGCACATTGGTATTAGTTTAAAGTTTTTGAAAACAAGTGCCTATTAGTTTCATTTTGCCCACCCATCGATACGTAGACATGTTTACAAAATTTCTTGAAAATAGAAAGCAGAAATTGCATATGTACATACGTAGACCTTTATTAGAAACCTATTTCCGTAGAACAAAATTTTTATCTCAAAAAGTTATAGGCCCTGAAATCCTAAAAATGCCATCCTTTAACTATTTACTACATAACCATTTTTTAAACTTTTTAAACGCGGAAAAATAGTTGCCAGATTGTCTTGTAACGAAATATATTTGAACTTTAAAAATACAAAACGGGCATTAAAATTTACCGTTATCTAAAATTCGTTTTTCCAAATTTTTGATATTGTTTTTTCTTTTAGACCGCAGATTGCAGGAGATTGAAATTTTAGCAGCTTTTAGACAATAATGAGTAGCTTACTTCGTTTGAAGAAAATTTTTTTCCACCTTCACCTTCTCTCAAATTACGGCCTTTTGAAATCTGTAAAATTTGAATTTTTGACACTTTATATTTCCGAAACTGCCAGTTTTTATATAATTATTTCTCTTAGTAATATAACTATTACTTCTGGAGTATAATTATTTCTGTTAGCTCACGCAAGCGACCCTTAAATTCGAGCATTATGTTAACACCTCTTTAAATTTTTTTTTCTGTCTACCAAAGAATGCATACCTTTCTCATCCTAAATGTATGCAACTTTGAAATATACTCTTAAATGAATGAAAATAGTTTTAATAATGTAGTAGCTACATACATATATTGTTTTTGAAAGCAGTATTTTTACTTGTTGAAGGGAAAAGTTCTACAATACAAACTATTGGTTTGACTCAACTTTATTTGCAATAGAAGCAATTTCTGACAATTCTACGTTTATAAAATTTAGAAATTAATTATGATTTAGAATTGATTATGGTTGTAGTAGTTAATCGATAGCCGCCTTTTTCCCTGATTTTTCGTATAGAGAGCTATACGAAAAAATTTTGTTTAAGAAAAATAATAATTAAATAAAATTTATAAATATGTGTGTTGGTACTTGTTGTTTTATTTTTTTATAGTTTTAACATAAATCTATACAGAATATAAAAAATTTTTGCAAACACAATTATTATTTAAATAAAATTTTATGATACAAAATACATTTAAAAATATAAAGTATATAGGTACATCAATTTGTTTTAACAAACAATTACGAATTTACAAATTCATATTTTGAAATTATTTGAGCATTAAAATTGAAGTGTTCGAAAGCATAGTGGTCCGACCAAATAATTGCATAAAACTACTAAGAGAAATATTAATTGTGGCATTTCTGTTGTTAAAACAATGTTATGAATATTCTACAAATAAGATTTTAAAATGCTTTTATTTTAAAATCTCATTTTTTGAGTTCCACCACTTTCATTTTGATGGCTTCAATTTGCAAACAAAATATTTGATTTATAAAATAAAAAAACTTTTAAATCACATTTATATTTTAAAATTATAAATTGCTTATTTTAAATATTGCATACATAATAAAATTGAAACTTGAAAATACTTTATCACTTTGAAATATTGAAACATTTTTCAATTATTATCGTCGAATCACTGCAAAAATGACTCAACTATTTACTAGACGGCGCTTTGAAAATTTCAAAATTCTAAAATTCTACTAAGAAATGAAGCATTTTTGCAGTTCATCGACAACATTCGTCTATTGTAATAAATTATGAAATTCATCTTATATAAAATTTTAAAATAATTAAAGCTATAATGTACATAATATAAAAAATAATAATTAATATGTAGATTAAAATTGATTTTATGTTCTTAATTTACAAGTAGACAAATTTTTTTTTAACTCATAATATTTCCTATTTCAAAATCTCGTAATTTCTTAAGTATTTTAATTGGTAAACTTGGTAAAAATATTCCAATAAAAATTAATAATGGACCAAATAATAATATAATTCCAATCCAAAATAATAACACTGTTTCATAATTCAATAAAGTACAAGGTGTTTTATAACGAAAAGTTAATTCCATAAATTCTTTTAAATATATATTTTTTGTATAAAATGATGTAGCACAATAATTTTCAATAATCGAATTCATTTCAATTAATTTTTATATTTTTTAAATATTTAAATATATTATATATGTAAATATATGTATATATAAATTTTTATAATAATATCACTTAAAAATCACTACAAAACTATTGAATATCAATATATGTGTGTATTATTTCTATTGTAGTATAGAAGTAATTCTAAATGAATTCCTCAAGATCTCCACCTAAAATATAAGAAAAAATAATTATTAATTAAAAAACTATTGAAATTAAGTATATTTTTAATTTAATTTTAAAAGTGTTATAATATTATAACGTATAATAATTTGACGTATAATAAATGACAATCCATTAATATAAAATATAAATTACTTCTGACTTCTGACACAAAGATGTATCTTGTAACATCTTATGTATGTAATTTTGAAATTTTATTAATGTTACCAATTGGTTTAAAAATTTTTTGGGTTATTAAAGAAAATCCAAATTGACTTTACTGCAGTACTTTAATTAATACAATATTTGCTTGGAAAACCTGCTTAATATTTTATTAAATTTACTTTTTAATTATTTTAAAAAATTAAAATAATTATAAAATAAATTGTTCGAACACAATTTTTTTAAATCGAATCTTAGTAAAAAATGCTATTTTCGTAATTCTATAACTGATTTTTTTTGCTATTTTAAATAGCCGGAATTAGCAGTAGATAAAACAGTCGAATACACTTGCACAGCCTAAACAAAATTTTTCAAACACCAGTTTACATTGTATACTTAATTATTAATTTATCAGTAAAAATCAAATGTAAATTTTTATACTTCTTAATATTTCATAGTGTGATAATTTAATTTTAAATTTGATTGAAAACTTTTTTTTTAAATTAAAAATTATTTAATTTTTAATTTAATTAATTATTTTCTTTTTTTTATTAACTTTTATTTCTTCTTAAATATTTTTTATAATTAGTTAAAATAATTTCAATGCCTGCCGCGTCATTTTTTTTATTAAAATTTTCTCCGCTCAAGTAGGTTTGGCTTACGTTTGCAACCATTTCTAACTCAGGTTTTATCCTTAGAACTACACTCTCACATAATACCGTAGCATAATTTCCAACAAATATCAAAACTAATTAAAAACTAGTTTTATTAATTTGTTAAATTCTGTAGCAGAATTTTCGTAAAACTGTAAAAACTGAAACAGACTGCTTTTTGCAGCACAGCAAAGAAAAACGGCCTGCCACAGCAATTCCACTTTGAAATTGCAAATATGAACTCAATTTTTATTTGATTTAATTATTAATTTGAACAATCTTTTTAATACAATTAAATTTTTTAAATTTGGTCGAAATAGGTATATCTAATTGCGCACTATTTTTCGGATATTTTTTTTCTGTTCAAAAAGCACAAACCAAAACCTCTTGTGCTAAAAAACTAGCACATCTTCTATTATAATTTTTGACACACATTCAAATGTGCGGCAAAAAAAGATCGAATTATTTTTAGAAAAAAAAAATTTTAACGGAAGTTTTATTTCACCTACTTTAAATTGAACGTAAAGAATTTTTCCAAAATACTCTTGACTTATAAATTATTTTCATATACTCAAGATATACGTTTAAACAGTGTGCAGATTATAACTAAACTAGATTTTCATTTTTAAATATTTTATTGACTTTTTGTTTTTGATTTTCGATTGCTAAACCTGAAAGATTAAATGTACAAGCAAAACAACTTAAGCATTAAAAAGTTTTTTACATTGTTCTATGATCTCTTGAATATCTCATTACGCTTTTTTGTGTTTTCCAATTCTTGTTTTTTTTTTTTTAAAATAAACTCATAGTAAGTAAGAGTTTGTTTGCATTAACCAAGGTAAACAAGTTACTCAAACGTTGCTTTTAAATGCCGTTCAAAGAATAAAATAAAAAATTCTATACGACTATTAATAAGTCTATAATTTAAAAATTGTTGTAAAAACGAGTAAATAATGGGGGAGTTTTTTCGTTCTTTGGTTTCCTATATTTTTATTTTTCATACTTCACTCATTAATGTCAAATAATTTTGCATTTAGAAAATTGTCAGAATTTTAATATTTTGTTTGTTGATTTGTTCGGTATTACACCATGGAGAAATTTCTAAATTATAAAACTTCTTAGTTACTTAAATCACGGTTGGTTGCCGAAATTTTACGATTTGATGTCTAAATATAGATTACTTGTTTCGGAAATTGAGCGTAATTTCAAAAATATTGGACGTGCAATCATTGAAATTCCGGCTGAAAAATATTAAAAAAATTGCTTCTTGAAATTTGCCTCTTCATCGAACCATTTAACCATAAACATATTGCTACGATTAACATATAAAACTATATTTAAAAATTACATGATTACGCGAATAATTTAATTAGTTAAATAAAAATTGCTTTTAAATTTATAACTCCATTGTATTTAATTAAAAATGGAAAAGCTTAAAAAATCACCCATTTTATAATAATATATTGAAAACAAAACAAAAAAGTTATCACGGTTAAGTTCTGACTCACAAATAATAACATAGAAGGTTAACTATGTAAATATGAAATGAAGAACCACATGATTTTACTTTTTTTTAAGATTTAAGAATCATAGTCAAGACCAAGGTGCATTTTGTTGTAATAGTGTAACAGAGTTAATTATGTTATATATGTTATATGGAGTTTACTATAATTTATAGTAGCGGCATCATTTTTAACAATTAAATAAATTATGTTGGATTTGCTTTTGAATTTTTGTGTACATAGGTGGAGGCTAAATTTTAATTTTCCACAGCAACATTTTTCTTCAAAAAAGTGCAAACCAATCATTTTTTTGAAATATAAAATTAACCCAAATTAACATAAATAAAAAAATTGTAAAAATATCTATGAAGAATTCAAAAAACCTCCGGGAAAAACCCTCAAGAACCTTGCATAATTTTTAATTGATTTTGATATTTTTCAATTACAGTTGATTGAAATATAATGTGCATATATAAAGCTCTAAATAATAAAACAGCGATATGCTATTTCTAAATACTAAAATACTATAATTAACACTATTAAATTTTTCAAGTTCAATTCTTGAATTATAAATAATCTATAGTTGAGCAAAACAAAAATAAATCGTTAAAAAATCACGTACACATTAAACTCATATAAAATAACATTAAGCATGTAAACTGCGCTTATTATGTTGGCATATGTGATACAGAGTATGGTCAAAAGATTTAGGGCTTAAATTTTACCGTTGATTGAGAATAATTGTAAGTATTAATTAATTGATAATTATCATAAACATTAATATGCATATGCAAAGTAAGTATTTGCAATGGGTGCCGAAAAACAGGTAGGCCATTGCGAAACTTAAAAAAAAAATTAAATTTTAAAAAATCTAAGTGTCTTCGAATAATTTGTTCTTTTGAGTTCACAGCGAAATTAACTTGATAACATGTGCCTACTTACCATCATTGCAAAACAAAAGAAATTTTCAAATTTTAATTTCAGACTTAAGTTCTATGACTAATCTTGCATTCAGTTACAAAATAAAATTACAAAAATGTGATTCATTAGGTGGAATGTTTATTTCATATTGTTAACTGATTTTAAAGGGAGAACGAACGCACTTTTTGGAAAATACGTAGGGTGCCGAACAAATCAGAACCGGTCCCTATTATACATTATATATTTAAATTTAATGCAATTTTCATGATTAAACGCTTCAGGTGCAGAGTTAATCATTTCGTCCGGGTAATAAGTCATATTGTACACTTTTAAAAATTATTTATGTGTATACTCGATTTCAAATGAATAATAAGAGACCGCATCTTTTATGGGGTCGACATATTATGGACTTATTTAAGGTACCCTAGAAAACCTTTTTACTGAATAATAGTAAAATTTTAATTGAACAAATTTGACTAAAGTTTTGGTATTTTCTAGAACAAGGTCACACAAGTTTTAATCTATTATACAATTTGCACTTATAGCATATTTCAAAAAAATAATGCTGATGGTAATGAAAATCGTTTTTATTTTCCAGATATAACAATTTATCTATAGTTTTGTATATCTAAATTTTTACATGATATTGCCGTTATCAATATTAATTTTTATATTGTTTTAGTTTTTGAATTGTACTTTGTATTAGCCTTCTATAAACTTCGCCTTAATTAAATCTAAATTTAGAATAATTTATGATTGCAATTTCATTTTTCAGTTAAATCCAGCTATATTATAAGGTAATTTGAAATTTTTAAATTTTTCATATATGTATGTAGCTATGTAGAACTTTTAATTGTTTAATTACAATAAAATAGAATATCAATGTTTAAATGCGTAAAATAATCGTTCACATGGTCAATTTAAATTCAAAGTATTTTTCCACACAAATAAGTCGAAAATCAAATGTAGGTTGAAAATTAAAAATAAAAATTTTGTATAAAATACCTGTGTTCGTGTAGATGTAGAAATTAAATATGATAATTACAATATAATTAACTTATATATATAATTAACCTCAGTATATATTTTCATTTTATAAATTACAAACGTATATATGAATTTATACAATATTGTATTTTATTTATATGTACATATTTAACGTACATATACACAGTGTAAGTGATAGAATAAGTGAACTTAATAAATATTCTCGGATATGCTTAAAGATTTTGATTCATATTTTTAGTTATCTAGTTAGGTTATGTGTCTTTGAGAGATCGGATAACTAATTATTCTGAGCATAATACCAATAAAAATGTAAAAACAAATTGTTAATTATCAAAACAGAGGCTGGGTTCTTTAACTGCAAGTTAAATTGAAAATTGATAAAGTTAAAATGAAAAATTGTGCATTGAAATTTTCATAGCTTCTTCATTCATTATGTTAGAGAAAATCCATTTCCATTTTCAACCTTTCGCATCTAGTTCTCCTCCCGAGATATTATCTATAAAATTAGAAGTATTTCAATAATTGTCGGCAACTCATTTCTTCCGATTGTCTGAATTTCTAATAAGAAAATATAATTGAATATATTATTATAATTTTGTATTATTTCTATCGTTTTTTTTTTAATTTTATTCTCATCCTGAATATATGCAATATATTTTTATTATGACACAATGCTGCAATAGAGCATCTTTCTTCATTATTTCGAAATGAAATGACTTGCTTTGCTTTGCAAAATAAGAAAATCATTAGATAACGACAAAAGTGTAAGTTACGTAATGTGGATGTAGAGGTTTTATTTTTATTTTGAGTTCTAATTTTTGGTAAGTTTGTAAAATTATAAATTTTAATTCTGAATTTATACAGTAACGTAATTTTGAAATAAAAAATATTTGTTCAATTATTTTTACAATTCGTTGTATTTACATACTTTGAACTTCAAGAAAAATTTAAAAATTTAAAAACCAAATAATTTAATCAATAATTTAAACATAAAATAGTCATTTACATAATTTTCGGGGGAGAATTTTAAAATTTATTCATCAATTGGAAATGTCATTAAATATTCATTCTAAAATAATCATATCAAGCCATAAAACTCTACTTAGTACTTAATCAAGCCAAGATATTTTTAAAATAATTTGTTATTTCATTTATCATAATTTTATTTTATCATAATATTTTAAAAAAATATAAAATAACCCGCCTTCCCTTCGCTAGCTATTGTTAAAGCTTTTTCGATGCTACAAAAGATAGTGAAAATTTCTCGTTATCATTCTGTTATCGTCTTACCAAACGATAATATTGATAAATACATAAAAAAAAGAAAAAGCTTTATTAAATGCGCAAATACTATTTTTGTTTACATTGAAAACAAGTTTAAAATTGAAATTTTTTGCCTATAATTTCTCGGATTCAATCCCTGACCGTGCGCGATTAAAATGACAAAAAAAAATTATAATTTATTTAAAACGAGCAAAAATAGAGTTGACCGTGTCAACTCATTGATTCCCATACGAATTTGTTATCGTATGTGCGAACATATATTTCACAGCTTAGCTGACTGTGGAACAAACTATGACTTTAAGTTGTCATATTAATTTATGCAAAATTGCAGTACTATGTTTTCAATATTTTCTTAGATATGGTCAAACTACTGTTGAAGTTGTATGACAGCTGGGAGAAGGAGCCACGCAATTTCAACGACTTTTATCAAACACTTTGGCCCTACTAATATATTCGCTTGTGTGAAGTCGTATAGCAGCTACTCTAACTAGTACCCCGATCATATCTAATTTAAATAGGGTTCTGACATTTACTATAATAAATCTAAAGACAGACAAAGATAAATCGACTCAGAATTCAATGCTGATCAAAAACATACACTGAGTCTATATCTCAGACCGTTATTTTTTAGTGTTACAAGGATTTCAGTAAAACATTTGAGAAATGCTTAAATGATTTGAATTAATTGTTATTCAATCAAATACACATACTTACATTATGTAAAAATAATTATCACAGTCTTTTCTCTTTTCAGTACTATCTAGAGTAGTCAAACCATTACTATTGAGTTTTAAACCAAATGAATGGTAGTTTTCTTTTGTATAGTTTACTTGCTTCAGATCAAAATTAGAATTCTTAATTATATTTGTTTGTTGATTTGAAGTTTTTGATGATCCAAATAATGATCTCCAGTTTTCCATATTGAATTGTACACAAATATCCTGTTTCAGAACAAGCAAACAAAAAATCAAATATTCTGAAAGTAAATTAAAAATAAATTTAAAACAACAATTTATATGCAATACACATACACAGGTATCATATAACGTATACACATATACTATTAAAATTATCTATCTAACTATATAGCTTAAATTTATAATTTCTTTATTATAATTTTTTTTATTCGAAACATGTTATTTCCTTCTTCAGAATTTTTGAAATTAAATAAATAATAACCTTGGTATCAAAGAAATGGCTGTGACCGATAATTAAAAACAAAATCTAATACCCCCCTATAAACATATACAGAAGAATTTCTATATAACAGGTTCCTAAATATAACAAAAAACTCTATTTAACTAGCAATGTAATGGACAATATCGCATTAAAAAATCTATATGTATTACAAAATTTGTGTACTACGACCAAAATTTTTGGAATATTAGGTGTCCGTTGCATAGGGATTTGACTGTATCGGTAAAAAATACATAAATATAAAATTAAAAATTTTAATTTTGTTGTTGCTAAAAAGAAACGTTTAATATGATAATAAATTAATTAATTATATTAATTTTGATAATATACATAATAAGACCAGTGCCTATTTTGGAAAAGATAAAGAACTTTATACAGTGTTGTTACTCAAATAATTTTATAACCGGTTTAATAACAACTAGTTTACTTAAAGCATATCGTATGTATAACGTAAAGGTTAAATTCAAACACTGGTTTGCCTAGCTACCGTGAATATGGTTTACAAAACCTTTCTAAGAAATCAAAGCGAGGTGTCACATCTTGAATTCCATCCCTAATTATAATTTTTTTATTTCTGTTCCCAATAACTATACATTTATACGTATATGTATATGTTTATATTTATTTACAAAAAAATTGAATCTGTAATCTACATAGGTTTGAACTTTTAAATTTGTATATAAATTAAAATAACTATGCGCTAAAAAAGGAACATGTCATTTGTTTTGATAAGAAACTAAATGAAACAATTTCAATTGAATCTTATAGAAACTTGGATCATTAAACAAATAAAATATTGCTATTTCATGTTACAAATTCTAATTTAACATTTTACGATTGCTACTCCATGATCTTTATGTGTCAATAATTATAGTAAACCTTTAATCTTTCACTACAGTTCATGCTTATCTCTCTTTTATAAATATAGTTTTAGTAATTTTGTAATTACACAATGTTTTTACTCTAATTAAATGAAATTCTGAATAAATTCAAAATTCATCAGCTGAAATAAAGAAAATTAAACTACGAAGTAAATTTATTGCGTTTAAAACAATAAAATATTGATTATTCAGCATAAGTATGGAAGTGTATCGATTACATATGTATATAACAAAGAAAATTGTTGAGACCACGTAATTATAATTTTAAGTACTCGTATTAATAAATTTTTAGAATTTAAAATTCCTTGTACATATTTCTATCAAATAAAGGAGGAACTGCTAGTATAAATACCATTAAAATGCTATTTCAACAATATTGTGTAGTTACCAGAGCATAAATTCTTTATATTCTTAGGCAGCAAGGATAGGTTAATATTTCGAAGGTAGCTTGAAAAGTTTGGAAGTCCGAATATTCATTCGCATGTAATGTGGAAGATAAACTCGTCAGTTTTTAAATCAAAATTTGTTTTGAAGTCCTTAAACTAGATCAAAAAAGTCCCAAGGAGCGTTGAACAGTACAATCCTATACCGATCTTGTTGGACAATTTTGTATATATGTTATTTTTACAGTATTGTTTTGTAACAGCATAAATATCAGTTTTTCGTTCCTCGTTGAGTTTAATTTTTACATGTCAATATTATTTACTTCTACTTTAAATTTAAACAAGATCAGTAACGCCATATTCTTAATTAATCAATTTAGGAAATTCGAAATTCTAGTTTTGTTTTGATCTGATTCAGTAAACTATTCGATAATTAAAATTGTCTCTCTTTGTTGTTATAGTGTAGTTAAAAGTTCCGCAAAACAATATGTTCATACAATTTGAAAAAATAAATACTTCTGATTTCAGTTTGAGCATAAATTTCTGAATTGAATTTAAAAACCATATTACTACATTATAAAACATTTTTTTATTTATACAGGATGAAAGAAACCGAGTGAGTATATCATTTTGGGTAATGTTGCAAAATGATTTTCAGGTGAGCAGGGAGTTATAGATTTTTGTAGGTGCTAAGCTGACTCGATATTTTAAAACTTTATTAAACATATTAAACATATTTTGAAGAAATCGAAAATTTTGATTCAAAAGAAAAAAATTACTTGAAAAAGTTGGGTCAAACCTGTTGTGTCAGCAACTGCTGTTTAACAATTTTTTATTAAAAAAGAATTTAAATTACATTCATCCATAAACCAAAATACACTTAGGATTAAAGAAAAGATTGCATACACCTACGATGACAAAAAAAAATTAAAAATATAATGATGACATAACATAATGATGAATTCAACGGTTAATTGCGTGAGTTAAGTTAAATAATTAAATTTTTTTATGGCACGGCATTTCTTGTTACCTTTCTGTAGAAATTTAGAAAAGCTAGCAGTTTTTTAAATCGAAGGTACCAAAAATTCAAATTTGAGAATATCAAATCAAAAAGATAATTTGATAGGCGATGGAGGTGGGAAAAAATTTTCTTCCAACAAAATAAACTATTTATTAGTATCTCGAAACTGCTAAAATCTTAAGCCTCCACATATAAAACCTTCACGAAAAACGGTATAGAAAATTTAAAAATAAAAATGTTAAGGGGCATTTGGCTAAGCAGCGGCATAAGAATACAACCACTACTTTCTTGCGTTAGCAGAATTTAAATAAAAATTATGGTTTCGTTACAATAAATAGTCAAAAAATAATACTTGAAGGGCTTTGAGTGACTTTAACTTTTAGAGGGAAATTTTCTTCTACGGAAATATGTTCCTAGTAAAAATCTATTTATGTAATTTCAGTTGTCTATTTTAAAGGATAAAGAAGTTTTGCAGAAACAGAATGAAATTGATAAGCAGATTCTTCAAAAATTTTTTGGAAAAGTGCTAAAAATGAGATACGCAATTAGATACTAATAATTAGATATAATACTAATAATTCTAAATTATATTTAATACAACTACATATACCATTTATTTCACATTGATTTGAAAATCTTTCGTATACCAAAAAGCCCGCATTCGTATAGGGCTTGATATAAAAAATAATTAAGACTACATTTTAATTTCTTATAATTTAAATAATTTCACACAAGTTTTAATTTATTAGTTGCTGCGACATGCGATTTCAAAATTTATGTGTCCATTTATTTACACATATATGTGTTTATCTTTATACTTAAAAAAAAACACATAAATTAAAAGGCTCGTAGTTGATTTGGTAGGTGTGTTCAAAATTCAGATACCTGTTTTTTTATTAAACTTATTGAATAAAATACATATATCGATATCAAATTTCAAAACAATTTTATAGACAAAATATTGAAATATTTAAAACCCGTTATCAGAACAAAAATTAAAACATGTTTTTTTATTCCTTTCTATTTTTAATTTTAAATTCCGATTTAATTATATTTGCTTACACCCAAGTATGTCTGCACTTAGAGGTAAAAACTAAAACTATGTCAGCTTTTTAACTAAAATTTACTGATTAAAATTTATAAAAATATCATTTTTCGAATTATAAATAAGATTTGCATATACATACATACATATACATTCATATTATTATGTATGTATGTATTTCTAAAATCATTTTGATTTTTTATTTTAAATTCGTGTCGGAAACTACTGCATAAATTATAAATAAGAATTTTGGTTTACTTTTTAATTTTAAATTTTATTATAATTTTTATAAGGTCATTTATTTTAATAAAAATGTGCTTATTTCCTACATAATTCAAATTTTAAAATGTTAAAAATTGCAAATTTTTAATTTGCATAAATTAAATAAAATAATGAATTATACAAAAAAATTATTTAATGAAAATGAATTGAATGACTTTGATATTATTTTAATATCTTTATTTTATTAATATCGAAGGCAAAAATAACAACACGAAAAAACAAACAATAATGCAAAATTTCAATTACGTTTTACTACATATATTTTCTAATAGTGTCACATCTCTTATTCCAATACTAAAGAAGTATTACAAATAAAATGTATACAAACCTATATAGTAAATATTAAGGTTGATAGCACTTAAAAAGCCCGGTAGTAAAATTATTTTAATAATTTATTTTTAAGTGTACATACATACAAATGTATAAATAGTCTTATATTTAGTATATAAAATATAATGTAAATGAATATGGTTAACAACTTTCGCTCCAATTTAATAAATAAATGTTTTTGTTGATTTTAAGCCAATTGAAAATTCACTAACAAATAATTAAAATTTATTATTCTTTTGAAAAAGAAAAACACAGAAATTATCTTGTCTATTTAAATTTCAAATTCCATTCAATAGAATATGACAATCTTTCGATATGTCTGAAAACAGACTGAATATTCTGAAACATTGAATCTTTTAATATTGTAAACAAATAAAAGCTGTTATGCATAATAAAAATAAAAATATTAAACAAATACAATCATAATATGGGATCGTTGTTTTGTTTTATTAATATATAGTGCCTACATACATACATATATTGTATTTGCTTTACCAAGTACAAACACATTATACTGAATAATAAAATTATATATCTACATATCATATTAATGTTGGAAATCGTTTTGCCGCTGTATTCGTGTTTATTAAATTCAGTACAGAAGTGGACAAATTAAATATTTACCTTAAAAATTAAAAATTTTACTTGATTTTGGGTCAAATAACAAGTGATAAAATATAAATACATACTTAAGCACGTAAACTAATATATAGATTTTTTATCCAATGACTAAGTGCCATTTCGGCATCAATTGATTCTTGGCATTTGAGAATCAATTTTAGTAAATGTGAACTCATACTTTTTAGGCCAACTGTTGACAAAACAAATAATAATATTCGAAAAAATTGGAAAAATTTACATATAAGGACTGTTGACAATACAGTTATAAAAAATTTTAAGTGTGTAAAATATTTAGGTTTAATTTTAAAATTCGATATGAATTACAAATTACATGTAGTTGAACAACTTAACAAGGCCCGGAAAGAATTTGCTATCGCCAAACACCTTTTCTATTCAAACAAAATTTATCCTAGGGTAAAAATACTGGCTTACCAGAGTTTGATAAGGCCTATAATAACATATGGATGCCCAATATGGTATAACGTGAATACATCGACAATGGAAATGATAAGAAGTTTTGAGAGGAAATGTATCAGATATTGTTTACCCACAAAATCCACTTTCTAGTGCCTTATTACTGAAATAATCAATTTTATAAAATTACTGTAACTAAATTTCAAATATATACATGTTATTATTCATATTTCTTCACAATTGATAATCATATTTTTAAATTTATTAAAAATTTGAATATTTACTCGTTGCCAATATGATTTATAAAAATTGATCGAAACACCGATAAAAAATGGACCGATTGCATAAGTTCAGGCAAAATTTATGGTTATGTGTATTCGTCATTTAATTTTTGAAAATTAAATTACACTTATACATAATATGTATTATTCTATTTTTCATTTATTTTTATAACAAGAGTTCGAATAAGTGTTATAATTATAAATGAATAATAATAATTTCGAGACATAAAACAATTCAAAATTGACATTTGTATTTTAATTATGCATAATCTTACATTAAATATTTCTTCACTTATACATTTTATAAAAAAAAAAAAACAACCAGCTTTATCTAGGTATTGTTATATTATAACGCTCTAACGTTAAAGAGAAATTACAATCTGTTTGATAATTCTAAATTCAGTTTTTTGTTTATGGAGCATTGGTTAAAAACGGGCTACGTGTGTATTGTGACAAATTTGTTCTATATAAAATTAGATGCACTCAACATAACTGTTATACAGTTTCTTTTATTTATTGTTATCATAACACAATATTATTTAAATACATATACATACAAACGTATATATTATTTTCATGTTTTTAATTTTTTTTTTTTGGACTTTGTTCTGAAACTAAATTTTATACAATGACAACCGTCTGTACAGAAATAACGATATTGTGTACACTTGCACTCTGACCAAATATTCAAAATGAGTATTTAAATTACGGGTAAGTATAGTATATACTCGTATATTTAAAAATCTAAGTAAACAGCTGTTGTATACTATTAAGTATATGTAAAAGGAAAAAAAAAATGTTGAATGTACTTATAATATTTAGCACTACAAGTATTATAAAACGTAAGGGAATGTTCATATGGTGATTTTCTCAAAATTTGAATACATCGGGAAATATAATGTTAAATTGAATTTATGCTTACATTTTGCATTAACTTTCAAGTTTTGCGTTTTCAAAAATCACATTGCATATATTAAGAAAAGTAATTTGTGATTTGTCATCGCTTAAAATTTCCGACTGTCTCTTTTCTAATTTCGAGAAATTATCTTTCAGTTTGATTAAATTTTGTTCTCGATATATTCTAATTATATTGATCGGCATGTTCATATTTTAGAAAAAAAGAAAAAACCTCTTTAAAAGAACAGGAATATATAAAAAAAATTATTTTCTACGCAAAATCGTTATTCACGTTTCTGATTTGGTTTATATGGGGAAGAATTGCTATAATCCATAGGTTTTATTTACTCATTATGTATATGATTTTTTATATGCTTACTTCATATTAACTTCATATGAACAGATCATATTTCCAGATATAAGTTAATTATTCCTAGAAGGTACATCACATATACATACATATGTTCATTATTGATTTTAATTGAGATATTTATAATTATACGGAGTGTTTCATTTTATACTGTATCTTATACGAAGTATCGCTATTCCAAAAAGTTTTGTCAGAAACTCATTGAAAAAAGTTGAAATAATTTGTAACAAGCTTACTATATAGCTTCCGGGCATATAAAAATGGAGTGTACATATATACACGTGTATATGCAAGTATATGCAATCTCTTTTAATATCAAATTAAAAATATCAAAGCATAAAACTGGTTTAATTTTGTTGTAAATCAAAAAAGAAAAACCAAAAATTTATGAAAATGTAGGGTTTAGGTACTCAATTACATTAATGCACAGCTCTCAAATACGCAGTCTTTTAGGCGATTATCGGATTTCTGTTCAAAAATAACTTATAAAACAAGGATGAATTAACTGCTTCTTAAGCCAAACTAACAGTTTTAATTTGAAAATTACGTTTAATTGGAAATTTTCTTTTTAAATAGATTAAAGAAATAAATCAACTTTATGCATAGAGATTGCTAAATTTTTTTTTAATATATTCATTACTTTAGTATTAAAAATACTATATAATCAGTAAATAGAAAACATATATTAACTACCATTACCCAAGTGTATACTTAAGCAAGAATTCTTTTTAATTAAGCACAATTTTATACAAAAATTTAAATAATATCGTCAAACACTTCTCAGATTAAATATTATGTAATACAAAATGCAATGCAATATAAAAAGCATATTATTTTGAATGTTGGTCTTCTATATAGTTTGCTGATTAAATTTGTTTTCTATTATAGTATTTTAACATTAAATGAAACACAGTGCGCGTGTTATAAGTTTGTATCAATAGCTTTTTTTTTCAAAAATTTATTTCCTTTTTCCTATTATGGTCTACTAATTTTCGCTATCTAAAAAATTACTAAAAGAATCTTCATTGAAAATCATGATCATGGTTAAATATTAAAAATACTTCAGTTATTCCTCAATTCTTACAATATGAACATTGATCGTGTTTTACGGATATGCAACTTTCATTTTGTGCTAACTGGATATATGATGCATTGGTTCTTCTCAAAATCTAAAGAGTTTCGTTTTACATTGTTTAATGGAATTTTTTTCACTTTATTATTAATATGGTATTTAATTTGTTTAAGTCAACATTTTGCCCAAAATGTTTTCATTGCAATTTTCGAAGAAATTTCACCTATTTTATACTTGTGCATGGAAACTCATCTTTTTATGGGCATCAAAATATTTTTCTGCATAATTTACGATTCCAATGGAATTGCAAAATTATCCAGCGAATTTTCAAAAATATTTTCTGAAAGAGAAAAAAAATTTAGCATTGATGAAATACTAATTTACGCGATTTTATATTCAACGATTATTTTTAATATTGGAATTGGTATATACAATTTATACAATTTAAATTTTCTACAATTTCATATGACAACATTTTTATTACTACAAGCATTGTTTATACCGCACTTTCTTATTGCGAATTCCTTGAAATATTCATGTGTAATTGCTTGGTTTTTTAAAAAGGAAATTAAATATATAAGATTAAGTGTTAAAAATATATTTGAAAAAGAAATTTTTGCATATAATTCTGAAAAAAATAATAAAAAATTACCAAATTTCGATATAGAAATGTATTCTTTATCGAATGTAATCAATGATTCACCACCATTAGATAGCTTAAAAGAACTACTAAGGATTAATGAAAGACTACAGGATATTCAAAATTTTGGCAATGAATTCAATAAAATTGTACAAAAGCAACTTTATATTCTAATTTTTCAAAATACAGTAGTTATGTTGGCAATTTCTTATGGTATAGTGTTTTTTAGTGCAACGCTTCAAATTATATTCGAGGAAACTTTTAAAAGAATTATTTATATCAATTGTATGAGTGTATTTATAACTATTTTTTGGGATTATAACTGCCTTTTTGGTATTCATTATTTATTACAATATGAGGTGAGTATTTGTTTTGAATTAAAATAGTTTTACATTAAATTCTATTATTTTTTTATTTGTAATATTATATTAATGTTAAGAACAGGAGTGGATTTCTTATAAACACAAAAGTATTATTAAATGTATTATCAAAGTATATATATTTCCTTGCCAACTCACTTAATTATCAAATGAACTGGAGTCTTAGACCTTAAGTTACAATTTAATTATCAAAAACACAAAACCTTCTCTTCAGTAACATATTTTTTAAAGCGCAATTGGATTTGGCGGAGAAATGGTACTGGGAAATCAAATTGTAGCAAAAATGTAAATTAACTAATTTTTTCATTATAAATTAAAAATTTAATGAAAAAATCAAATTAATCATTATCATAACTACATATATCGATTAATTTAATTGTTTAAATTAATTTATATAGCTTACGCTTATAAAACTTATTTGCCCTGTAATTAAAAATTCATTTTTAGCTTACTATAAATAATAATAAAAAAATTAATTAATATTTTTTTATTTAAAAAAATTCATAAAAATTTTATGTATTTTTATTGCAGATCACTCTTTTAAAAAATGAAATTTTTTTGTATTTAAAAAGCAAACGAAATAGTGCACTTACTGAAGTTTTAACTATGTTCAAAACATCCTTAAAAGATTGGAGTCCTTTTAAAATATTTTGGTTTTGTAATATTGATTACTTAACATTTACAATTGTATATACTTACATAATTAAAGTTTAAACTTTATGAAACAAATTTTTTTAACCCAATTTTCGTTTCAGTGGACTGTGCTTAGCAGTTTACCAATATCAGTTTTACTAATTTTTGTATACTTTAATGAGAAGATGAAAAAAATTGAAAACAACGAGTCCTCAATTGACGATGTAGTGAATTATGTAGATAAATGATCACTTTATTCATCTTTGGGTGTATGTACTTATAAAAAATAATATAAAACGGATGTCGTTTGTAAATTGTAATATCTTAATAATATAAAATAAAATACGAAATTATTTTACTATTAAAAGATTGAACTAAATTTCATTACCCGATTATAATTTTATGCATATACATATGTGTAAGTGCATATTTTAACTATATGAAATTTTTGTTCATCTAAAATTCGCCGAAAATATTTCGCCGTCTTTCATATATGAATAAATTTTATTATTTATAAGAAACTTCAATATATTGACAAATTCAAAAGCGTTGCGAACATTGTAGCTTAACATTTAAAAGAAAGTGTCAGAAAATCAACACAAGTTTTCCGATTTGTCACAAGTGAAGTAAACGCTAGGGTTAGTAATTCATAGCAATTTATTGTAGTTCTGATATACATACATAAATAATAATTTTATACAGTAAATAAATTCATTCCATAGAAATTTAATTCGCATTAAATTTCTATGGAATGAATTATTTATTGAAAATATACATACATAAATAAAATATATACAACTTATATTGAATTATATTACCCGTATAAATATATCTTATGTATATAATTAAATAAACATCACATACATTCACAAAAAGAATTGTATGATCTTTTAATACGACAAGATTTATATGAAATTATTTTCATTACGCATATAAATATAAATAATATACTGGATACCTATAAAAACGTGAAATTCGTATAAAAACATATAAAAAGTTGATCTTATTGAAGATTTATGATATTAAAAAGCTTGCGAGCTACCGCTTGCGTAAGAACACGTATAAATTTGCCATTTTTGATCGATTACTTCCTCTTATAGTTGCGTATTGTATTTTTTTTAGTCAGCTGCGAATTTAATTTTGAAATTAATCTGGCATACGTTAAAACATAAGAAAGAAAAAAAAGTTGTAGTTTTCGTTATAGATCGACAGATTATTTTGACAAACAATGACATCTTTGACATAAACAAGGTTTCGACGTCTTATTTTTAGCTATTTTTCCAAAAATTCACAGAGTGTTTTCATGCAACCGTAAAATATTTTAATTAAAAAATTTTGATACAAAGCTGCAAATTTTTTTTTAAATTACCGAATTTCAAAACTATACTAAAAAAACATCAAATAATCGATAAATCGGTTAAACTTCGATCGGTTAACATCGATATTTTTTTAAAATTTGTTCTCGATATTTATATATCGATACAAATATTGGCCAACCCTGCAGACGCTGTTTAGTATTTAGAAAAACAAAGGTGATTTAGAAAAACCCGAAAATTTTTATTAAACCTTTTTTAAAATAATAGTGCCAAGATTTCATTGTAAATATGAGTTCTGGTGGTATGCTGTACGGTGGAGATGAAATTGGTGCTCTTGTGTTTGATCCAGGGCATCATTCCTTAAGAGTAGGGTATGCACAAGAAGATACACCAAAAACAGAGATCCCTTCTGTAGTAGGTGTTGGACCAGAAGATCCAGACACCAATCAAGATTTGGAAACAAAGCAGGACAATAATATCACACAAAACAGTTGAGTGACTTGGAGCTACAACCTTAATTACTTACAACAGTTAATTATTTAATATAAACATAACCAATTTTTAGATACCGGTCGAAAGTATTATGTTGATACAACGTATGTAAATGTTCCTAGATCAAATATGGAAATCCAAACTTATATGAAAGATGGGATGATCGACAATTGGGATTTATTTGAAAAAGTTCTCGATTATACATATGCCAAAGTTATTCAGTCTGAGTCAGAATTTCATCCCGTTCTGTTCTCTGAAGCTTCTTGGAATGTACGTAACAATAGAGAGAAATTAACAGAGCTTATGTTTGAGAAATACAACGTTCCTGCGTTTTTTTTAGTCAAAAACGCGGTATTAGCTGCCTTTGCAAGTGGTCGTGCAACAGCTTTAGTAGTAGACAGCGGAGCAACACATACATCTGCAGTACCTGTACATGAAGGATATGTTTTATCTCAGGCAGTTGTTAAATCACCGTTGGGTGGTGACTATCTATCACTGCAATGCAGACAGTATTTGGAAGGACAAGGAATCGACCTATCTCCTGCATATAAAATTGCTTCAAAAGAAGTTATCAAAGAAAAAGATAATCCAAGATTTACTTTACGAAAATTGCCTGAAAATTTAACCCAATCTTGGCAAAATTACATGCTTAAAGGGCTGTTGCAAGATTTTCAAATGTCGGTTCTGCAAGTTTTAGAAAGTCCATACGATGAGAGAACTGCTTCGCAAATTCCATCTCAACCATATGAATTCCCCACCGGATATCATCAAGAGTTTAGTTCAGAAAGGTTCAAATTAGCGGAAAGTTTATTTGATCATACTATGTTAGGGGCAGGGCAGTTGGCTTCCACAAGTGTTGGAATGTGTGATGCCGATGTTCGAATGTCATTGTTTGGATCAGTTGTCATCACAGGTTTAAGTTTAAAGCATGCCTTTCTCTTAGTAATATTTTTTTATTTTAGGAGGAAACACACTACTTCAAGGATTCCCTGAGCGTTTGAATAGGGACTTGCAACACAGAGCACCTTCTAACACTAGGCTAAAAATGATTTCAGCCAATGGCAGTGTTGAGAGACGTTTCGGGGCGTGGATTGGTGGTTCAATTTTAGCTAGTATTGGTACGTTCCAACAAATGTGGATATCTTCGCAAGAATATGAAGAATCTGGTAAAAGTCAAGTGGAAAGGAAATGCCCTTAGGTTAAGAGAAAAACATAGCTGTATTTGTGCATACTTTTGTGAAAATTTTATTCCCCAATTTTCAAAATAAACAATTTCTTAAAGCGAAGTACATATAATAAAACAAAATACGTAATAAAACGTTCAGTGTTTCTCTTTTTGTAGATAATTATTTATTGTGCGGTTTCATAACACTATCTTCCACTTGTTTCTGAAATGCAAAAAATAACATAAGTTGTACAGTGCATGTATTAAACACTAAAATTCTTAATATACCCTAAGTGAATATATATCTTCAGTCCATTCTTCTTTCGAGACATTTTCGACTGCCGCTATAATAATTTTCTTAACCTTATCAACATTTGCTGAAAAAGTTTTCAAAACATCAGCCACAGTAACACTTTCACCTTTTTCACGCCAACAGTCATAGTCTGTTGCTATCGCTATAGAACCATATAAAAGTCCGGCTTCTTTTGCTAAAACAACTTCCGGGCATGTTGTCATATTGATTAAATCTCCCCCCCATTGACGAAACATTAAGCTTTCAGCCTGAGACGAAAACCTTGGCCCTTCAATTGCCACTATTGTAGCTTTTGGATGTACTTTTAATCCCAACTCTTTCGCTGTTCTTATAAGTATATCCCGAATTCGTTCATTATAGGCCGGGAGCATTGGCAAATGACAAACGCCTTCAGGCGAACTTTCATTTCCATCATAAAACGTTTGGTGTCTTTTGGTTGTCCTATCAATAAAATCATTCGGTATTATCAAATCTCCTGGTTTATAGTCTTCCCTTAAAGAACCAGTCGCAGTGGATACAATTAAATGAGTACACCCTATAGATTTAAGAGCCCAGATATTACCACGATAATTAACATTAGATGGCATTATAGAATGTGTGCGGCCATGTCTTGCAAGCAAAGCACAAGGAACACCTTTTATGCTTCCGGTAATAATGACATCTGATGGATTTCCATACGGTGTACTCACAGGAATTTCTTTCCTATTGTCTAATATATCTGGATCATCCAAACCTGAACCACCAATAATGCCTATCTTATAAATAAAAATAATTGTGCAATGTGAAGCAGTAAATAAAACATTTACTCACTTTTAAGGAAATAGCCATTGATTTTAGATGAATATTTAGTAAATGAGTATTTTAACAGCACAAACTCGTTACAGTGACTATATGCAAAAAAAAATACTGATAAGAAATTTAATAGAGCGCGAACAAACAAAAAAGGTAGAAAATTTATTACAAATTCATAATACTTTTCAAAAATCATGAAAAGTATACATCACTACACAGGCTGTACCGATTTGAAAAGCATGCAAAATGGAAGTTTGACAACACTATATTTCATTCATGGTTTAGTAATAATACATAATAATAATGTAAATATTACGAGATATTGATCATAAACTTAAAAAATAGAAAATTTATTTTAATTTCACAATGCTTTTCCAAAACCATAAAAAGCACAGACTGTCTCATAATAACATAACAACCTAAATATTATATTACAGTCGTATGAAAACGGCGTATGTAGTTTTTTATTAAGGCATTTTCATGTTATGTCATGAATCTTTACTCTAAACTTATTGACCAGGCAAGTTAAGTTTTTCAAACGTTACCTTTTAGTCATAACATAACCAAAAACTTTGAAGGAACCTATAATACTTGCGGTTGTGTATTCGATTTACATGTTCAAAATCTTCATGTGTTCATGAAGAAAAACTTAAGAAACTTAACAAAAATTTCGAATATTTCCGGTATTTACATTTTAAAACTAAAATTTTATTTAATTGGACGCGAAAGTATAAACACATAAGGTTATCTTCTACATATATTATGCCGAGAAAGCTATTTCCGTTAAAACGTACTACGCGAATTAACTAACGAGCAGTTTGAACTCTATAAAATTTGTCTATGAAAATTCATAATATATTCTATGGCAGCTATATGAAAAGTTGGCAACAGTATTTAGTTGACTTAACAGTCGTTGAAAGTTTGACAATATTTCTGACATATTTGTTAGATTTTGACAATTCACTTAAAACTATGGTCTAATAATATGACTAAAAACTAAACGTAGAATGCTGAATGAAAATAAAGTGTGGCAAAAATTTATTAAACTAAATTTTCAAATTTATTTTGTTTTTGTAATTTAAATTAAAATTTAACTTGATGTTGTATTATCAGTTTATATTGTGATGGCGTATATAAATGTCGCTTCATGGACTCCAGATCAGGTTACAGATTGGCTTAAAGGTATAAAAAAAATTGACCAAAAGTTTAGTTTACGTAATTTTTATATTATAATTCATTCACTTCACTTAAATTTTTTTAAATATTTTTTCAAAAAAAATAAGCATTTAAAGGTTGCGCCAATATTTCCTTTTTTATTGTTTGCAAGAATTGTGTGACTTTCATGATTGGTCAGTTTTAGTTGACGGCGCTCTTTTGCGGGAGTTTTCATCAATTGTTTAATTCGTTTGTCATTCGTAGAGCCGAAATTACTTGCAATTCCATTTACGTGACCCATTCCTGTAAGACCAACAATAACTACTGGGTATTTTTTAAATTCTCTACATTTATTAACTGCAATCGTTATAGAATGAGCCAGAATATAATCACGTTCCGAAACGAAGGCACGATAAATAGACGGGATAAATTTTTTTATTTCTAAAAATATAGAATCGTTTCTTTTTAGCACATCAATATGTTCTTCAGTAATTTTAAATTTTTGTATACAAGTTGAATATAATTCCACCAGAAATTTCAGCTTTTGCTTGAGTGATAAATCAGATAAACCTCTATCAATGGTAATTCTTAAAGGTCTATCACCTAAGAATATTTTACAACATGGAAATTTAATGATTTCTTCAACAGCTCTACGACACTCTCCCCCTGGAGCAACACCAAGTTGCTTAGTAATTTTTGCATTAATTTTGGCAAAAGACAAATAAAACATCCCTTTTGTTATACCATGTTCCTTAAATATTTTCATGACTTTCGCAACGTTTAAATTCAGTATCTCTTTTAATAATGTTTCCTCGTCCAGATATAAAAAATGAAGGCGGGAAGAGCACAGTTCTAGGACTAAACCATCAGGTTTCACATTTCGAATAACAAATGAAACATCAAGGCAGGATTTTTTACTAAAATGAGATGTTCCCACCAAATATATTTTGTCTGATTGGCGGGTTGTTAAAATTTCTACGGTACCAGGAATGTGTGCTTCAAATTCTTGCATTGTAGGATACAATTTAATATTTTCTTCGTTTTCATTCTTCGGCAACATAATGTATTTTAATTTTGTGAATTAAAATTTGTTCATAAGTTCAAATTTTCAATATTTCTAAACTTTGAAATTAAAATGTAAATATATTTTTTGAAAGTCAAAAATTTTTTAAAATTGAAAAACACTACACAATGATTATTTGTAAATTTTTGTATGTAGGTATATAATTTAAAATTAATTTTTGCTGCAGGTTTGGATGACTCTATGTATAATTATGTTCATTCGTTTACCAACAATGAAGTCAACGGACAGAAGCTGCTAAATATTCGACCTTACGAATTAGAACAGCTCGGGATGGCTTCAATTGGACATCAAGAAATAATTCTTGAAGCTGTGGAAAACCTTAGAAATTTTGTAAGTGAACTAATTTAAGTTTCGTAAATATTAACTTTTAAAGTATTATATTTTTATTTTAGCATTATAACTTAGATAAAGAAAATCTGCAGTTCCTAGCATTACAAGTAGCTTCGGCTTCTCAAAATTTATTTCGCCAACTAACACATTACTGTGATAAATCTAAAATTGAGACTCAAATTCTTAACGATATTACGAGAACAATAGCAACTATTAAACCTCTAGTAGCGTGGCTAGAACGTGCTCCTTTCAAAGGCCATGTGCAATTTAACGAAATTCGAAAAAATATATTGAGACTTGGTCTGGAAATGGCAACAATGGCGCAAAGAGATAGATTTGTCGAAAATCCAGTAGATCAAATTCATGCAACAGCAAAAAAGCTTGCGAAATTAGCAGATTATATAATTCAGGATATTACAGATCCAATGTTGTTGCAACCGGCTGCTTTAAACTTAGTAACATTAAAAAAGCGGGAGTCAGAGCTTGGTTTTAACTTAGTTCCAAGTTATCATGGCATACACCGGGTTACTGAAATAAAATACAATTCTCCAGCTCACACCTCTGGTAAAATTGAAGATGGTGATGAAATCGTTCAAATCAACTATCAGACAGTAGTAGGCTGGCAATACAAAACAGTTATTCTGCATCTTCGTGAGTCCCCCCCAGATGTTTTATTGACACTAAAAAAAAGGCCTAAGCATACAAAAATTTATGGTCAGATTTATATGCAACCGTATCGATTACCGAGTAAAAAACGTGCTTTAACAACAAGATGGGGGGACAATTTGCCAAGCCCACGAGCAAATTTTTTAGCAGTGCCCGATTTCAATCTTCCATTTAAAATAACTGAAAAAAGTGCCACAAATTCTTCAGATACAGATTCAAGCTGTAGTGATGATATTTTAACCCCAACTGATCCTAAATCTGCCGATAAGGAAATTCGAATGTATTATCCGAAACCGAGGGCTGTTTTGCAAAGGAGAAATACCATATGCGGGGATGAATTATCTTATTTTAAGAATGTGACAGTTCCTTTATGGCATGAAAGGAAAACTGGTGGAATCCAAAGTGGTTCGTTACTTAAAAAATATTAAAAAGTTTGCAATTTTTATATAACTTTTACAATTTTTAGGAGATCCATCATCACCTAGCTTAAGAGATAAATCTGTTTCTTTTGGATTTGGACTGGAAATAGCTCCAAGACCAACAACTTGTATTGGCATAACCGGAAATGGCGGTAAATATAATGAACTTGTTGGTCTAAATAATTCTCTACCTGAAATTACAAAAGAAAAAGATAAGTTAACAAAACAAAAAGAAAACGAAAACGGTTGTGATATTATTAGAAAAACACAAAACTCCAATAATGAAGCTAACTCTAAACCTGGTGTTTGTAAGGTTGTGCGTTTTGGCTCAAATATGAAAATTGACGACTATCCAGTTGATAACAAATACATCTGTAATGTCGAAAACACAATTCTAGAAACGTTTGAACCAATTCCGTATGCCGATGATGAGGACGACAGTAGTCAGGAAGCCGAAACTCCGAAAATTCCTATTGAAATTTCTTCTCGAATATTTTCTTTCGAAAAAGAAGCACGTGCGGCTCCAAATGTTCACAGCGTAATTACAAACAATAGGATTGGTCAAAATCTTAAAATAGAACCAGATTTGTGTCAAGCTATCAATACGGCGCTTTTAAACAGACGTGGCAGGCTGGATAAATCCCATAGTACACCCACCTACGATAATTCCGGGGAAGAATCTGACACACCTCCTGCAATAGAACCAAGAAAAGAGTTTTTATTAACTACACCCCCATTACCTCCACCACGGCCGCGAAAGCAAGCCGAGTCTTTACAGGTACCAATTCCACCGCCAAAACCACAAAATTTGTCACAGAATCTTCAAATTCAAATGCTACATTCGGCAACAGCAGTTACACCATCGATAATAACCACAAATACTATTCCAATTAGTACAACTTCACCTCCAGTAATACCCCCTCATAGGCCAATACACATTTTACATAAACAAGAAGCTACTGTATCGCCAACATCACCAGAACATTCGGACTTTGAATTACCAGTTAAAACGAAAGGATTAACTTTGAAAAAGAAAAATAGCTTAATGGCTAAAAGAAGAAAAATTAATTTAAAATTGATCGGAACTGGCGACATACAAGGACATTTATATAGAAGAACAAAAGACAAAAGGGGTGTGACTTATTGGGCTAAACTTTACTTTGTTCTTATAGAAACAGTTTTGTACGGATTTCGAACAAAAGATGCTCTTAAAGCAAATTGTATGATATTTTTGCCAGGGTTTACCGTTTCTTTAGCTGAAGAAGTGCATTCTAAACCATTTGCGTTTAAAGTTTATCATGCAGCCAAAACGTTTTATTTTGCAGCAGAATCTGCAATTGCATTAAACCAGTGGATGGATTTTATAAAAAAAGCAGCTTTAAAAGAAAGTCAACAAACGCAACAACAACAAGGTTATGATGACATAAATCCTAAGGAACTATATTCCGAAACAGACAGTTCAGGTAAATATTGTTAGGTGTTATTTTTGTACCAGTAATCAATGAATTTTCAAAATCATTTAAAAATACTAGGAGACGAAAGCTCAGCAACAAAACAACTGTGTACACCTTCACCTATAACAACACCAACTTCTACACGTGATATTTTAAATAGTCAATCTAAGTCGAACTGTAATGAAACACCAACAACGTCAAAGTCAGATAACAAATATTTGGGTTCTTTGAAAAAGTTAACAAAAACGTCATTAAATTTTAAACATAGTTCAAACATCGGTACTGGAAATAATTCTAACGATAAGAAGAAATCAAGTGATATTCCGGAACCGACGGAGCAATTTCGAACATTTCGAAAGAAACCAGGAGGAAGTTTTGGAGTTCAAATTGGAGCTGGGGTTTCAATAACCTCATCGTATCTAGATAATAATTATTCCCCTCAGCCGCAGTTAAATTCTCCTCATCAAAATCAAATACAACATTTTTTTCCCCCTGAACAAACACCAAGAAAACTTTCATTAACAATATCAACTACTCAAAATTTAACAAGTAAAGAGGAAAACCGCTGGGATGAGCCCTCGTCTACACCTGGAACTCCGAAACCTATTTCAGAGAATGATAGTCAAATACTACCCAATTGTACGGATAAGGAGCCAAAAAAATTGAAGAAGCCTTCTCCACATAGCTTTATTCATGCATCTAATCCAAATTTAATTGAATTTGATCAAATGTCTAAAACCTTAGAAATGCCTAAAATGAACAGCAGTAATTCTTGGGATACACATAACAATTTACAGGGATTTCAAGGTTTAACATTAAAAGATTTGATGCTACAAAAGCAAGAGGAGGAGGCTCAAGATATGTACAATAATCGCGTTCTTTTAGGTAAGTAGCTGAAATCTGTGTTCCTAATTTTTATTTAAAACATATTAAAATGGATATGTTTATGATATGGTATATAAATATGTTATAGAACATTTTTTATTATCTGCCAAGATATTTTATTTTTATATCACAAAGTATAATCTCAGTACATTAGTATATGTTATTTTCCAACATCTCAGACATTATTTGTCTGATCTCTATTGATAATATGCGAAATATATTAAGATATCATTTATGTAATATTTTTTTGTCAGCCAAATGTAGTTTAAATGAGTTTTTAAACTTTTCAAATTTAATATTCGATGTACTTGGCACTCTAATTGCAACTAAAACTTTCTTCTTTAGGTGTTGAAAAAAAAGACAAGGCTCAACGTAATCCATCTAACATAAGTAAATCTTCTTCAAATTTTGAAAACAACGAACATGGGAATATAATAATGGCAACTTTTAATAAAAGTCGGATCCAAATGCGCAGTTTACCTAAAACTCCCGATTATGAAATGAGTTTTAAATTAGATGATGAAGATATTAAAAGAACTCGTACTAAAGAAGGTCTAAAACTACGTGATTTTGGATACGAATTAATACCGGGAGATGAACCTACAACATTAAATGTAAATGATAATAGCAGTAGTAATAATGTAAATGAACATCATACCAAAAAACACAAAATCTTAACGACATATCATGCAACAAATGTAGGACATAATACTGGTTTAACAGTCTCGAATAAGAAAAAATATTCAGTCAGTAATGCCAGTGATCACCATGAAAAATCAAGTAGGGGTGGAAGTTTTAAAAAACATATTGGAAAATTTGAAGCTTTCAAATCATCTAGTGAAAAAATTTTTCAATTTAAACATAATAGCGACGATTTGAAAAATTTAAAAGCTGTAACTTCGTATACTCCTATGACCTTACCATTGAATAAAAAGTCTTCTCATTTGTATAATATTCAGGTTCAAGATCAACAGAATAAAATAAAAAAAAGTCAAACCTATAATAATGAATTTAAGGAAATCAAAAGAGTTACAGAAGAAAAATCACACCATCGTAAAAATTCTGCTCCAATGCCAATTTTATCGAAATTTCAATTTTCCAGTGCCGCTAAAACAACGAAAGAAAAGAAATTGCTTGGATCACCAAGGTTGCATCGCGCGATATTTGGTCGATCATCAAATAGAATCGAACAAGATTATGATCATGAGATATTTTGCCCAATTACTTTTACCAAAGTGAGTAAATTTAGTTTCTTATAAGTTGCGTATGTATTTGAGTAATAAAATTTATTTTGACTAATAAAAAATTTGAATATTGTTACAGGCACCATCAAATCCGCCGATTGTTGATAGTGTTGCAAATATAACACCAATATCTAATACTGAAAATCAAGCCAACACTAGTGTAGAAATAATAAATCAACAAAATTCTACTGTTGCTCCAATAACTCCAATACAAAAACAACAGCAACAACCATCTCAAATACAATCTCCTCAACCATCTGTTCAAACTCCTGAATACCCAAATCTGGAATGCCCGCCCGTATTTGAACCTGAAACATATTCGTTGAGTGATCCAAATGCAAGTTTAACCCTATTACGACGCCGAAATACTTTTGAAGAAAATGCTTAAAAATAATGTGCAGAATAATAAGCAAGGTTACATTTTGATTAATGACTAAAAGCCAAATTCAAATATACTCTGTAAAATAGTACGACATTATTGTTCATTTTGATTTGGTGCCAATTAAGCTCTTTTAAATTCATAGAATACATTGAGCTTTAAATCATAGAACCTTATAAATAACATGCATACATATATTATATTTAAGAATTGTATATAACAGAATGTATTCATAAATATATTTGAAATATTAGAATTAACGAAATCTTATGAAAAAAATTTTTATGTTTCCCTTAATTTGTATAAAATGTAAAGGAGCAAATACAATTTATAACAAAAATTTATTTAAATTAAAACCTTTGTATAAATCACGTATACAATATTAAACTAATTATAAACAATCTTACAAATATAATGGTTATATATATTTGAATTGTTAAACAAAACAAAGAAAATGTGAATAAGCAAATTTTAATAATTTATCACTTTTTCTTTTGTTTTTATTTTTGTTTTTTCTTAATAATTAATTATTTACGAAAAAAATAAAGCATAGGAACATAATTAGCAATTTTTCAATCATAATGTTTTCATTGTTGCAATATTTTTCAGTAAATGTAGAATAAAATAATACTTAGAGTGTAGTTTTTCTAATTTAAAGAAATATATAAATTAAATGAAAATTCCTTTGTTGAAACATTGAGACATGCATAGAGTAGTTCATTTTTCATTCAAATTAAGGTGATTTTATAATCAAAATTTTTTAATTTTTTTTTTTAAATACTTTTGTTTTTTAGCTTTGTCCTCAAATTATAGAAATAAAAAAATACAGTAAGTTTTATTGATTATGTAATTAATATAAATTTTAAAATTAGTTTTTAAGTGGAAAATATTTTCTTTTTATAAGAACTGTTGATTTTCATATAAAATATTTAGGATAAATACTTTCAACTAAATATTTTTTTAAAGATTTTCATTTGTTTTTGGAATTTGTTAGAGTAAAACTTTTTAAATATTTTTTATTAATAATGTATATATTTCAAAAGTATTGATTTTTTTAATGTATAAACCTTATCTGAATTTCTTCCTAAGTTTTTAGTTTAGAATTTCTGTGATTTTCTATAAATTTAGGATTTTTATAAAATTGATAATGTTACAAAACATTGATAATGTAAAAAACAAAAGAACAAAATAAAATAATAGAATCAAAAATAATAATAAGCATAAATATAAATTTGTTCGATATTATATTTAAAACTATTTTAGTAAAAAAAAAAAACAAAACAACAATGTAATTGATATTAGTTTCAAATTAAATTCTCTTAACGCCACATGAAAACAATCAAAATAAAAGCAAGTTTTCAATCTTAAATCTAAGCACTCGACTGTAAAATACTATCAAAAACTTTTTTATAACTTTTTATCTACATGAATAGTAGTACATACTTATTTTTCTAATCATGTATTTTTACACACTGATTTATTCATTTTTTATTTGTATAATATTTTATCTTAAACAAAAATCATAAAACAAATAAATAAAAAATTTTAAACTAAATTTTTGCTCAAATACTATATCTATAGATATTATGAAAATATTCAGTGAAAACATTTTTCTTGTTTTAATATTTTTGTTGACCATTCCAAATAAATATATAAAACAAAAAATATATTCGAAATTAAATTTTTGCCTTTTACAAACTTAAATAATTTGCGTTAGATACAATATTATTTTTTATTCCTTTGTTTGTTTGAATTATAATTTTTAAATTTAGTGCCTTTTTAATTATGCAAATATTAGCTAATTACATTAGAACGAAAAAAGCACAATAGTATTCAAAATATTGAAATTTATTGATATATGTAGGATCTTTTATTATTAATATAATAATTTATTTTCAAAATATGTATATTTAATTTTACAATATTTTATTGCAATTATATTTTATGTAACGTTATAACTAAAAATAATAAAATTATAACTACACCAGCAATAAATTTTCGTTATATAACTTCATAAAAAATGGAATTTTATTATTATTTCCTTTAGGTTATATTCAAATGCTAAAACAATAGTAACTATGGTTCATTTCTAAAATTTTATTAAAATTAATTAAAATAATAAATAAATTTATAGTTACTTTCATTTATATAATAACATATATACAACAAACTAAGCAATTCAATTTTGTTTTAAATAACATGAATATTCTGTAGAAATTTTTTAAGAAGCTCCAGGTCAAAATCAAGGAATTATGGTAAATTTTTATCTTCTTTAGAATTTCTTGATAAGTTTAGTGCCAAAGCATGCACTTACAGAGTTTATTGTTTAACAAAAATTCAACATTTATGTTAATTTTATTTTCATAACAAAATTATTTTTTGAAGAGCATTTTCACATGCAGACAATTCCTAACTTAAGTCTTCAAAATCTTTTTTGGCTCAATTATCGATTTAACAAAATTAAGTACATAGTTTAATTTGGCAGATTTGTAATATTTTCTATATTCAACAGTTTTTTACATTACGATTTATTTAAACCAAAGTATTTGGGCAATATTTAGTCTACAAAAGCAGTTGTAGATTACGAACGTTCGCCTTTCTACAGATTTTGCAGTTTCGATTTATTGAATGTAGCTTGTGTTATGGTTTAAATTATACATGAATTATCAAAAATCGGCCACTACTTACCGGAGATGCCTCTAATTCCTTAATAGTAATTCATTAGCAGCTAATATTTCTAACAAATTACAGAGATTATTAATCAGTTTATTAGTTAATCACTTTATTTCCTGGGCAAGTAGAATTAAATAAAATCAAGTTGTATTTTTGTTTTTTTTTTTCTTTTTTTGTTTAGGTTTAATTTATTGAACTGAAGAGAAAACTAAAATATAAAACATTTTTTTCGCCAAATTTTCTATTAAATATATAAATTTTTACATAATATATTCATGTATTTGTTATTTACAAATAAAATTACATTATACAAATACAACAACATTATTATCGTTATTACTCTTATAGTATTATTTAATGAATAATTTTATGGGTTTCATTCTAATTACTTCAATATTTATGTTAAAAATAAACAGGCAGCATTTAACGGTAAACAAATTTTATAGAAAATATTTTGTTTTTTTAATTAATCGAATAATTTTTTAAGGAATATGAAAAAAACAAATACATATGATTGAACTATACAAAATTAAAAAAATGATTTTATTAAAGACTAATGTTGTAAAATTTCATAAAAAATTAGAAAATTAGCAACAAAGCTCAATTACAGAGGACGTGATTATTAATTATAATATAAAAAATAAAAAAACTTAAAATATTTCATTTATTTCAAGAAATTTATTTCATATATAGTTTTCGCTTACGCAATACTTGTTTCGTAAAGATGCTGTTTGGGGCTTCAAAATTTTGTGTATTTAATACTTTAATAATTATTGTTAATTAGAATTTTTTTTTTTCAAAAAATCAAACTATTTCAATTTAAAAAAAATTTATTGTTAATTAATAGTTTCGATTACTAATTTAATTTTAATTGCAATTGACTTGAGAAACAAATAGCTAATAATTCCATCCCTTGTAATTGAGGGTCAGCTCAACTCTAATAACGATTGATATTTTGAATCCGAGTTGTTTATAAAATTTTATATAATTTTGGATTTGAATAGATGATTCAAATTTTCTGCAGTTTTTTTGTTTTATATTATCTACTATATTCATATTAAAATTTTTTATTATATAATTAAGTAAGAAATTAACAAAAATTTCTTTCTCTTGAAAATTATTTCCGTATAAAAAAATAATTACAATATTGTTACTACGTTTATGTTATTGGTTTTGTTTCATTTTTGTTGTGTTAAAGTTGCTCAGTTGATTTTCATTGCTACAATTTTTTTTATTTTACTTTAAATTCTTTACTACTTGAATTTTTAAGCTGTAATTAGAAAAGTTGATCTGCGATTGTACCAATAAATGTTGCCAAATTCATACTAGTTCCTTCTTTGAATTTTAAACCAATCGTTTTACCATAAGCTTGTATAAAACAAGCTCTAACAGCACTTAGGCGTTGCTTTCGACTGAAATACACATTAAAAATTTTTTTACTTAAAATAATAAATTATTTATTTTATTTAAAATAATTTTGAATTATTGAAAAAACCACAAATATTCAAACATAGTCCTGAATTTCAAGTTTTAGTGTTTTTTAGATACACATATTACATTGTTGTAAGTTTTACCAATGCTATGGTATAATAACTATAAAAATTGAAAGTTTACGTTTATTAAAAATGTTGAAATTCTTTGAGTCAATTAAATCAAAAAGTTTTTATAGTATACAACGTTCTTTGAATTTTTAACTACACTTAGCAATGTTATTTGTGTAATTATATGGAATGTGCTTTATTGTTTCCAGGTTTTCAAGCACATTCCTGTGCACATTAATTTGTATGAAACCGAGAAATTTTTAAAATAACAAAAATATTTTTATAGAAATATATAAAAAGAAATAATCTAATTAAAGCTACGTACTTTCCATTTCGGCTATTACAGTTCGTGTAATAGTCTTTATTATGAACATTGAAATCTTCACTCAAAAAATTTTCCAAATCGGAAGAATGATCTGACAGATTGTTGATTTGATCGGCCAAATTATCATGTTCATAACTATTTTCTGCTTCATTATCGGCAGATCTATAAAGAAATTGATGCATAAAACAAAATCTTTCTTTTAATTTTGCGTCAAAAAATGAAAAGCAATTTAAAATAGTATTTGAGTTAAGGCTAACTAATCTAATTACATCAATTTTGAAATTTAAGAAACATTTTAATTTAAGTTATGACAAATTATTGCACAAAAGCATTTACATACATATATAAAAAATTACGGACTAACATATCAAAATATAAATTTTTTTGTAAGAAAAAGCATTCAAATTTAATTTACACATGATGAATTTAAAAAATGTAAATCAAAGAACTGAATGATGAGCTGAGTGCAAATGATTGAATTGATTTTTAAAGACAGGAAGGAAGAATGAATTCTGGAATCCGAAATATTGTATTTTCTCACGAAATAAAAATAATTTTATAATGTAATATGTATGATCTTTAAGGTCAAACGTTTTATTTTAAATTTAAAATTCATCAAAACGTAAGTTTTACTTACAGCGACGAAAAGCTTTTAGTCTCTTTGTGATTTGAATTTGAACAATTAGATTGTTGGTCTTGTTGAATAAAACGCATCATATAACTTCCGTTTCTAATTGAATCAATACTACCGGTTTCTGTGACAACTTGCCAACTTCCATTAGATGATGTTGATTCTTGTCGTTGTCGCTGACATGCACTTACTTCTGGTACAGATATTGGACTAGTTTTTGAACTGAAATTTAGATTTAAATAAAGATTTAAATTTTAAATTTTACAAAAGCATCGTTATTTAAGGATTTCAGAATGATTTATTTTTTATTTACTCTACATGATTAAGTGTTTTAATTAATTTTCAAAGCTAGAAAAAGGATTATTCAGTTCTTCATATTCAAAATCAATTTTATCATAGTTTATTCATAAAATATAATAAATTTTTTTCATAATTTTAAAACTACTTTCTGTTAAAAGTACGACGTTATTATAACATTAATAAATTTAAAGGAAGCTAATTTTAAAGATTTCAATGAAATCGATAAGACTCTTTCTCCTTTAAACTGTTAGCTTAAACATATTAATAGGCGGCGTAAGATCAGTTGTAATCTTACAAAATTTCTTATAAAATTTTCCGTTTTTGCATCTCTAATATATAGATTATATAACTAAGGAATATACATTAAAATATTAAAAGTTACAGTTAGAAATTAATAGAATATCAGTTCTCATTTTCACAAAGTAAAAAACAAGAAAGAAAACGACACTAACACAAAATGTACTGTTGGTAAATATTAATCTATTATTTAATTAAACTTTTAGAGCTACTGTTGGAACAGTTTTAATTTTTACGCAACCGTTTTTCATTAAAAACAATTAGTTAACACGTAAAATAATTTTCCAAAATATTTATCTATTAAATCATACTTGTAATTTATAATCTAGGTATTACCAAAAGCAAAATTTAAAAAAAAAGGCTTTTAATTCAAAAAAAAATATACAAAGTTACAAAAATGATTACCGCTTTGGATTAGGCGATCGATTAGTTATATTATTGCTTGAAAAATAATTTTCATTTGTAGTTGATGACATATCACAGTTAGCAAAACTATCATTGCTGTCCTGATCAAGATTTTGAAAGAAATCCCTGGCGAAAATTAAAGTTTTTTTGATTTAATTTTATTTTTTTATTTTTTTTTTTAATGTCATACTCTTTTAAAGAATCATCATCACAGCAATCAGACTTTAATATAATAACACTGCTACTTCCACTACTGCTTGTAGTTTTAGTTCGCTTTCTTCGAGAAAGAAATAAAGAAGTGATATTTTACAGCCAATTATTTTTTATATGTATTTTGAAAACTCACTTTACAGAATCTAATGATAAAAAAAAAAGAAATTTTATCTACTTTCACTTTAACTTACCTTTGCTCGAGAATACTAAATTCTTCATCTGTTATATATTTAAGAACGTGAAAGCAAAAGAACATTATTTCTTCGCCCCGAGTTAAACGATCGGGAAGCTGATGGCCAAATTGATACCAGTCATAAGCTAATGTAAAATATGCCATTTGCAACGGTGTCATTGAATCATGTATTAATCCATCTGCCCATAATGAAAGCCTAAAATATGTAAATAAGAATATTATTATAAAATTATTTTGAAAATTCGGAAAATCTTTTTGTCATTATTAAAACACCTTAACAATGATATGAATAGTGGTGTTCTGTCCCACCCACTGATACAGTGGACTAGAATGCCAGAATTCTCCTCCTGAATGTATTTTAATGAAGCTTTTAAATAATTTTGTGTTATTAAAACTAAATCCCATTTACGATAATCTTGCCAGTTCAAATCAATATCAAATGCTGGCCCTGTTCTTGGTATATTTAGTGAAGCATCAATAAAATTTTGTTTCCAGTTAAAGTACAAATTTTTCGCCATATAATTATTGTCGCGAAATTTTGAAAAAAATTCACAGCCTGGATAAGGAAGTGAAAGGATGTTGAAATTTTTGTAATGATTCTCTGGATCAGCCTTTTCCGAAGACGAGACACTATTAATGTTATTAAAACAAAATAATATATTAGCACATATTTCTATTACTTTTTTCAATATTATATTATGTGACGAAGATAATATGATTAATTACACATAAATTATGTGAGTACCTCTTTTAAAAAAAATATTTCTTTGTACTTACGCTACAAAATATTTTATTTTTCTTTGTTCCACCATTAAATCGATAATGGTATTAACATTTAAAGATTTCAACAACTGAATATCACTTTTAATAACAACTTCGTAAGAAAATGGTGATGGTTCCGGATTATATAAAGAATCAAAAGGAATGTCGTCTGTAGTAGAATTATCATCCTGATCCATTTGTTGAATTTGACTATTTTTACCACCGTAAATACAGTTATGAGCATAATCGACAACTTTGCGGCCGTAAGTTTCAGGCATTACTGATAATGTCGATGACCTACATATATAATTCCCCTTGAAATAAATGACTGGCACAACAAATCTTTGACGACAACGAGCATATTTGGCCATAGTAATCATTTCTCTGGTCTTCCCAGTGTCATTTAAATCTTCATATATAACATTTTGAGCACGACCAGATACACAATTATTTAGAGTAGTCGAATTTGTTGTTGGTGTATTATTCAAATCAGTATTTGGAAGAACATTAAAGCCATTAATACTACGCTGTCTTTCATATTCGGGAATAAATATTTTGCAAGGATATCTTGAATTTAATGCTCCATTAATATTATCCAGTTCTATAATTTTGTAGTCAAGTTTTAATAAATTTTCTAATTTTTTTGTAGTTTCGTATTCCTTTAAAAGAAAGAAAAAATATTATATTTTATTTTACCTTTGTTTACATAAATAACTTATAATTCTATCAAATCTGTGATGTTATATGCATGTATATATACTTATTCGTATATGTACTTATACATTTATTTCTTGTGTTATGATCATTACATATTTCTATGGACGTGGTTATATTCGAACAAGGTCATATTTAAAATATTTTGAAAATGTAACTAAATATCAAATAAATTCAGAAAAACACTTACAAAACTTCCTTTTTCACATAAACCAGCCTCATAGGACTTTTTTTCGAATTTTTCTAATAAGATTTGAAGGTCTTCTTGCGTTACATTGCACTCCATTTCTCCTCAGATACATTTATTTCGTTCTCCAAAACAAAATTTATTTGGGATTTCCAAGTTTGTTTAATCTGGCTTGATGATTGAATTAACTCTTTTTTTTTGATTTTTGGACGAAAAATGATCACAAAAACTTTGGTAATCACACTTAAATTTGCTTTAATGCGTAGAAATCTAGTTGCAAATGCAAAAAAATACGACAATTAAAGAAGTTGTGACAGTTCAAATAAACTGTCATAAGAATATTATTTTTCTACTTTCGAATTCTGAACGATACCATATTAATGTTTTTTTCCGCACTTTATTTTATGTAGATGTCTCGTGTGTTGATAGTAAGGTATAAACATTCCTATCGTTATTTATAAAATTGTTAATTGCAAGAAAAATGAGAATATCTACATATATAAAAAAAACAGGACAAAATCGAATAAAGTTAAGCTGGTGTACACATCCTGATCCCAAAAATTTACATGGGCAAATATTGATTGTATAGCAATTAAAACCTTTCGAAAGGCAAACACGTTTTAGCAAGGTCGGTTTTATTATCTGAAAAAAATATCTTTCTTTTACTTTGTCAATATAAAATTCAAAAATTCTTTCTTGCTCCTGAAAATTGTTTCTTGCTTCTTAATCCTGAATTTTTTCGATACGTTAAATTCCTTGTAATTACTGGTAGCAAAAATACCTTGTGCATGTAAAAGCTGGGAAGCCCCGATCAGGCTATTTATGCTGGGTCTGTATGGTTTTCTTAACATTTCAAAATTTTAACTTTTCAATTTACATCCAAATTGAAAATTTTCAAATTTTGTTTTAAAAAGAGCATTCTGTAACCTTACTTGAATATTGGATGCTGTTGAAAGTCACAAGTGATACCCTTAAAATATAGAGCACAGGTCATACGAGCGTAAAATATGACTCACATCATTCCCATCAGTAAAAATTTATTTTTTTTTGAAATAAATAAAAATTTGAAACGGGAATTGTGACTACTAAAACATATTTCGTAAAAGAATATATATTAACGAAATATGAAACTATAAAATGTGAATTTGACAATTCATTTGAAACTATCACCAATTATCGCTGATGAACATTTTTAATAGGTATCGAATAAGATCGTACAAAAATAACAAAATTAATTGTTTTGAAGAGATTTCGCAAATGAGGCATTTTTATATTCTATAAGGGGCAAGGAGTTTCTCATGAATATCTACAGTAGTTATAACCTTCTTAATTTGAATTTTTAAATTTTAAAAAAATAAAAAAAAAATTTTAAAACACGTTAATTTCCTATGTAACGTAATATTGGAACTTTTTCTAATTTCGACACGGCTAACAACTCTGTAAACTGAACTTTCAATTAATATGTGGCTCATTTTTTATTAAGAAAAATAAAATACCATGTACAAGTGTTTTTTTAAAACAATTTTTTGTTTCAATGACTTAAAAAAATGTACAACAAATAATTTAAATGGTGTATCTCCCGTTATGTAAGTATTAAGCTTAACAACCAAGTAATAATATAAGAAACCAATTCAAAAATTAAATTGAGAACAGTGAACATCGTATGACTTTTTTCATTAATGTCAAAAGAGAACCAAAGCTGGTAACGACAACATAATGTTACAAACAAACGGAAACATATATCTACCTAATGTTAGAAAAAAAAACCGCATATCTAAAAATAGGAATTATTTTCAGTTCATTTTCTGAAGTCTTATATATAAATTTTAACATTAGACCGCGGAAAATCGTTCCTTTTTTGTTTTTAACTTTAACCAGAGTGAATGTACCACGTTTTTCACCATAACGATAAAATGCCATGGTTTATGATTGTTTTGTTAAAAAAAATGTTTAAATTCTTTGTGAAACGGTTTTGTGTGGTTAGTGCAAGATTTTGTGTTAAATGTGCGGCATAGATTTGAAAGAATAAGAAACTCTTTAATCTGTTAAATTAATAAAAATCTTTATTAATTGCAACCCAACGACAAAGGAAATCTTAAAAAAATTTTATTCTATTGGTAAGTATTAATTATTACATTGCTTTGTTTTTTGATCACGTTTTTAGTTATAACAAAAATTATGGCTTTTGAATATTGAAAAATGTTAATGACAGTTTATCCGCTTGTAGTTACTTTTATAGCGTCTTAACTCTTGTTTAAATTAGCGAAGAAGTACTTAAACCTACAACGTCAATACTAAAAATTACATATTAACAAAATTAAATTTGTAGTTTCATTCTTAAACTTAAAAAAGTAAATATTAAATATCATAATAAGTAGATATATACTTCGTGTGGTAAGATTAAAATAAAAAAATTATTATTCCATTTCTTTTTTAGCAAAAAACATTAATTATATGTGTATGTAAATGTGATAATAAAATAATGTATGAATATACACTTAAATTGACCTTTCGCATCCCGCCTGCACCAAAGTTTCATCATAGTATTTACACATATGTATGTATGCATGTCCATAGTATTTTCCACATTTTAATATTTTCAATTTTATACTTTAAACAAAATTATAACTTTTAAATGACACACTTTAGCATTAATTTTAATTTGAGAATAAATATTTAAAAAAAAAATATCATTGTAATATTGAATTTAATTTGTCAAATTCTATTCAAAATAAAAATAATTTTTTGAAATTTTATTTCAAAATTCAAAAGTTGAATTTAGTTTAAGTTGAATCTTTTTTATATTACAAGTTATTGCTCTATATTTGAGAAAAATATTTTTCAATCATTTTTCGGTCGGAAAATGTACCAAAATTGATAAAAATGAATGAAAGCAAAACCAAAAATAAATTAAACTGAAAACCAACAATTATTATCAAACATTGAATATTACAATTTCAATTTAATTGAGAGCCAGAACCATATTGAGAGACAGTTTATTTACAAATTGTATAAGGGAAGAAAAATGTTGATAAGAAAAGTCATTAGTTTTTCCAACAGATTTTCATCTAGCCCTCAAATGATTCCACTTAGATTTCATTTTTCTTTTGTGACACACAAAGTACCCACATTTGCTCTAAAGATTACTTCTATAGTATTTGTGTTAAATGTTTAATTTGAATATAAAATTGACTTTATCGTTAAGCAGGAAACTAAAAGACCGATATATATGCGGGAATTTTGTTATTGTTTACTCTATTGATTTTGTAATTACTAAATTACAAAATCAATTGATTGTTACTATTGCTAGTGCTTGAATTGCCATTGATTTCAAATTCATTAAATTTACCTTATATGTTTTGTGTTACATTTGTATTTAAAACTTGTTTTTTTTATTTATTTAAAACCTATGTAAATACAGCCTTAAGTTAGCTAGTTATGTACTCGTAAATTTATGTTAATAAATATTAAAATTTGTTGGAATTTAAATCCAGAATATCTTTTTATATATTATATTATAGATAGAATTACCTACATTGATAAAATTTTTATATAAATTGTGAATAATTTTAATTTTCCAGTTTGATTAAAAGTATTTGAGTTTTCACTAATTCACAAATATATCCGATTCTAATAAGAAATTAAAAAAATTTAAACATAGTTACTAAAACAACATTAACATACGAACACAGGCAATATATGTATATAATATGTATATTATATATGTATATCTTTTATTCAATTTTTTTGTTTTTATTGCTACTCTGCCGTCTCAAATTTTCTTTCAATTGGGCCGTTTTTAATTTTGTCATCATTTGAGTAGAGTTGTAAAGCCAAGCTCCCTGAAATTAAAATATTTTTTTCGATCATCAATTTTCGTTTGAAATAACTATGTACATAAGAATTTACTTACAATAAGTAGCATGCAATTTAGAAGAATTGGAATTGAAAATACGGTTGATATGAAAAGACCATTACTGTCAAAATATTGTTGTTTCGAAAAGCTTTGCCAGTGGGCAGCAGCATGTTCATTTATACTTTCGGAAAAGTAAGCCATCGATACTTAAGTTATAAAAAAACTATAATATGCTATATATTTGACAAGATTTTTTTCTACACTTACATAAAACTAAGAACAAGAATATTTGAAAATTGGTTCTATTTCTAGTAGTTAATGCTGTAATTGTTGTCAAAAGATGAAATAGCACTAAACCAATTAACCAAGGATCTGTCCAGTCAATCTAAAATAAGGAAACTATTAAAAAACCTAGATATAAATCTAATATTTATTTACACTCTTTAGGTATGTCCAATATCCATTAATTTCATTTATTTCTATCATTCCTGGCCCTATATGCTTATTTTCATTTTCTGACATTACTAATATTTTTTCAGACTTGCAATTGTTGATTGATTAAATAAAAATGCTTACACTATTATTTACTTAAGATATTTAGCGTCTTTCCTTTAGTGCTCGTCTTATTATGACGTTTTTTTGATTTTCTTATCAAATTTGGCAGTACATTTATTTAGTATTGCCATACAACTTTAAATTGCCTTATTTTTATTCCAACCTTATTTTTATATTTTTGTTTTCAGTATAAAAAAACTGTAAAAAAGTCAGGATGAATGATCGAAATACAGTGGAGCTTCCACAACTCGAACTTTTCCTTACCTGGAAACTATATGAGTTTCATTGGCATAACTTTCTTTATAAAAATTATTCTATAACTCGAATTTCCTCAATTTGAATTTCTCCTTGACTCGAAATAAAATTCAGCTCCCATAAAAGTAAAACACCCATATTCTGTTAGAATCGCATCACTTGGGCTTGTGGGATATGATTGAAAAAAGTTTTGTTTTTCAATATAAAATTTCAAATTTCAGAATTGATTTTATTCAGTAAATTACAAGATTATTAAAAAACAACCCATCACGTCAAGTGATGCGACTAACAAAATATGGGTGATAATTTCTTTACCTCAAAAATTTCAAAAGTTTTGCACAAAACATATCATATTTTTAATTCAAACTGAAAATACTAATGCAGTTAAAGCTTTTTTCGTTAATAGCACGTATATATGCACATACATACATGTACATATATTATATTATATGCATAGACACATGAATTATATTTTGGTTTAAAAATTTTATGAAGTGTTTTTTTTTTAAAGTGTTATTCTCAATTTAAAAAACATTTGTCATACTTATTTCATTTCAATTTATATGCCTTTTTTTTCTCTTCAACTCGAAATCTCCATAACTCGAACTGTTTTAGTATTCCAGTGTGACTTCGAGTTATAGAGGTCTCACATATTTATTTCACGTTTAAGTGCAAATTGAAATTTGTCAAATATAATATCAAGATCATGGCAATAAGAGGTATGTTCCACATTATAAATTTCCAATTCTTTTCTTGTTATTTTTTCTATTTATCGACCGTATTGTGTAAACAATAGGTAGGTTATGTGATGGTAACAAATTTTGCATATCGAGTTTTCGAGAAGTGGGAGCGGACTTCTCCATAGGAAGTGTAAATAAACTATTTTTAGCAACCTGTCGGTCTGTGTGTCCACGCCTGTATCTTAAGTTCGGCTGAACTGATTTTGATGAAATTTTATATATAAGTTTATTTCGACTATGGCACGGATTGATCAACTTTTGAGATATATCAGGGCTTAAGAACTGCACTTTTTAGCGACATTTTTTGGAAAAATCAGGGCTCGGAAACTGATCTGAGGGCCGATTTTACATTTTTTACCACATCTATGGAACGAATTGATGGAATTTCTTAAATTTGATATTTGAGTTTTGGTTGTAACCGAAACTAACTGGCGAGCATTTCAGGGAATTCGCTTTACAAAGCGAAGAGCCAAATTTACATTTTGCTAAGTGTGTTAACTAAAAGCTTACTAACGCCCTAAAAATTGGAAAGAAGTATTTAACAGATATTTTTATAATATTCTGCAACAGTTTCACTTAACACTAAATACACATTGCGGTCGGTTATGTGCTTTATATTAATTTGCCATGCCGTACCGTACATAGAGTTTCCAAAACTCTCATATTGACACTGCGGCATGCCGAAACTGATACCATTTTTGTTATAATTCCTGACACCTCAAAAACAATGAATATCTCGTTTTATTTCTAAAAGGGCATTTTTGAAATTAAATATTCGGATCCTTCTCGGTTGCTGTGTGGCAAGTTTTGGATGGTCTATATAAAATACAAAAACGGTTTTTTTCACTCGGTTTGCGAATCAAAAATTTTTAGTCCCTGTAACGAAACCAAATTAAATTTAACTTATAACTTAGTAAAAAAAATAAGATTTGCTGACGTTTGTGTTTTTTTACAAAAAATAATTATTTACTTATTTGGCAAGTTGAATTAATTTTAATATACATTTTGACGTTGTCAAAAATAACTCTGTGTTTTCTTTATTCCATATATGTTAAAACTATCTCGAGGCTTATTAGTTATTAAAATTTAACTAAGTTGTACTGTAATTTTGTTTTCGTGAAGAAACCTTTGTTAATTTACGGCTTTAAACAATTTAATTTCAAAATAACCAAATCATAAATTAAAAGAAGATTAGACATGTCATCAAGTGGTCAAAAATATTGTTTTTTATTGCGGTATTTGGAATTGCTTTTATGATTTTATGAATGATTTTATAAATAAGAGTATGATATGATATAAAATGATATAAAAATATCACTGATGAACTTAGAACTGACAATCACGCATAAATCATCGTGATATATAATTCACACGAAAATACATATTCAAAATTTATTCGGAAAAATGTATTTCCAAAGCGAGCAATTGTGTTTATTTTTAACGTCATATGGTTAGCTGTCATTACTGTCAATGTTTTCAAAAAGTAAAAAATTCAAAAAAAAAAATTCAGTATTTGAAAATTCAAATGCTTTATTTTAAATTCTTGTTGAGCAATAGACGTTTATTATCTAAATAGAAGTAAAATATAGGTATTAAATATCACAAATTAGAATCTCAAAGTTAGTAATTCACAAAATGAGCGGCATGGAAATGGAAATTATTGAAATAAGCTCAACAAACTCTGAAATTCTCGGAGATGATAATATGAAAGAAATTGAACTCGAAAAACTATCAAGTTTATCAAGAAGTCGTCATAGTCTTAATTTATATGATCTGGGTGTTTGTGGTATGTATACCTTTAATTAAATTATATAAAAATTAATACAATTTTTATTTTTAGGGATTAAATCTGAAGCTGAAAAAGATTCTCAGATAATGTCCGAGTAGTTTAAAATGTTCTTATAAAATTCTGAGATATATTGAAATTAATTATTTTCAGGTATGATACCATTCTCAGAAAAGAAATTGATCAGTGGAGAGATCTTTTAAAAAGTACAAAAGAAAGAATAAAAACGTAAGAAAGTTATTTTAATTAGTCTGATTTATAATGAGATGCTTTTAGAAACGAAAACGCTACTTTGGAGTTGAAAGAAGAAATATTAACAAAAGAGCATATAGATCACATTAATCAAAGACCGAACTTTGAAAATTTTTTAAAAGGCTTCGAAGAATTTAATATAAAATGCTACAATTTCTTCGAAATTTATGAAAAAACTTTAGATGATCAAAAAAATTTAATAAAAGAATACCAAGATGTAATAAAAAAGGATACTTTGGTTAATTACATGTGGGAAATTTAGTTTTCAGTGGCAAAATCAAGTTTTACATTTTAAGCATATTGTGCTTTTGTTTTTAAAGAATTTTCCGGAATAAAAATTTTTTGTAATACATATACATATATATATACACAACAATTTTATAATAATTTACATAATGCTGAAAATAAAAAAAAAATATAGCATAAATATTTAGTTAGGCATTATGTATGCAAATGATTTATTTTATTGTGTCAATTGATAATGCAGCTACTGTAATATTACTGCATCTTGAAAATCATGAATTTTAAATTGTAATAACATTGTGTGGTCAGATATCCGGCAGGTATTTCTGAATTTAGTTGATAAAAGTTTTGGTTAATACCGAATATAACTCCCATCACAAAACTGAAATTACTGTCCTAAGTAACAAGGATAATGCTGTTTAGTATTCTAATGTACTGATATGAGAATATTGATGCAGACTGAAACAGACCTACCTATAATCAATTTTTGAGTGATTCTCATTTTATTTAATACGTTTTCAAAATCCATCTGGAATCTAGGTTATATCATTAATGTGTAAATTTAAAAAACTAAAAAAAATAGAACACATTAAGCATTGTTTGTTTTTGTAAATTTTGTTACTTCGAAAAAATATTTTAGTTTGGTGGACGTATGGACATATTAGGCATTAGTTAGGGTCGACAAGGAAGAGCAGATCCATTCAAATTTACATTTACTTTTTTTTCAAATGCAATTAAACGATTAAATATTCAAATAATATTATATAGATTCAGCAGAACTAAAAATATACCATATACCCTCCTTGTGATTTTCATACAAATCAGCAAATTAATTTTGATTTACTATTTGCGCTTGGTAGCCTGGTGGATATACAAGGTGCTCCCTAAGAAAAAATAGGACTTCTAAAAGCTAACGTTTTTTGTCCACCTTTATAGAAAGTAGGTTGTAAATTTGGCTATATCAAATATAACACTACTTTAAAATATGTGCTGAAAAGACCGTGCAAAAGCTGATCAACAAGCATATGACGAATTTCATGCTACTTTTAATTTAGATACATACCTACCGTTTAGAACCGTTTAAAAATGATTTTTGAAAAAAAAAAAGATTACTTTTTTAAAACAAAAATGATTTTTTATTTTATTTCTCTCCCATAAGTTGTTTGATAACTTTGCAAGAAAATAGTAGTTTGAAAAAAAGCTGGAAAAATCGTAAAATATATTTTTTATTAAAGTCATGGTTAAAATTTTAAGTTTATGGGTATTTGAATTTTAAATACATGTGTACGTTGTTAACGAAATCCCAAATCAACAGAATACAAAAATGTGGAATAAACGTATGTATTTTAAAAAATATAAAATAAAAACCTATTTTAGGAGTGTCATTTCGGTATGATTATTATTATAAATGTCGTATTCTTTATGATATTACAACAATATTAACAAATAGGTGTGGAGGTCAATCTGCACATCTCTACATTTTGGGAGGAGCTTCATTAACAGAGTTCGTGATCGATGTAGAAGACAAGGTCATACGGTTTTTAAGATTGGTTCAAATGTATGTTCGACCGCATTAGTTCCAATGCCATGAAATTTAAGACTTCTAAAGGGCTATGAAATGATTCGAAATTGATTAGCATCTCGTTCAGGTTGCTAGGGATCGAACCATAATGATTTTTTGCTACTACGAATTACGACATTGTTCAGTCGTTTACGCAAACTGACTAAGTGTAATTTGCCGAAAAAATAACATTTTAAGTCTTCGTCCCTTTAAGCACCTTCTTAGTCCTTAATAGTCTCATGTAAAAATCGACTTGCAATCGCTACATTAAATTAATTTTTTAAGAAAATGTTGGATTATGTAAAGGCTAGCGTCTCGGTTAAAATCAACTTCTCCAAGATTATTAGATTCGAAAATCCTGTCAAAAGGGTCTAAATGGACCTCGTGCTTCAAAAAATTTTGTCCTATTAGTGGCTTTAAAAATTTTGTTTGCGATGTCTATTTTTTGTATGTACATATGTATGTATTATATTTTGCGTAACCTAATTTTACCTATTTATATAGTTTTCTGAACTTGATAATTGTAATCAGGCAGACTTATAAAGTTTAAATCTGCTTTCTAAGATGCCGGTTCGAAATTTACTCAATAAAACAAAATGAAATTCGTAATGATCAACCTAGTTTATTTAAATTTCCGTTGTAATCAAACAAGCTTTTAAAGTTCATAGTTTGTTAACTAACCAATTACATACTTTTTTGTATTTTTTTAAGAAGCCTCATTTAAAATCGTTTAAATCAGAAATAGGATACCTTCATTCATTTCTTTTTTCATGTTGGCTTTTCCCGAAAAACAACTAATTCTTATCTTTCACATTTAAACTTACATACAAAGTGTTAACTATTTTCTAAAATATATAAAACAATATAAAAACTATTTTGAAATGTTAACCATCAATCTATAATGATACGAGTACCATTAATTTTTATCTACTAAATTGTTAAAAGCTTTTATAATACTGTCTGTCACCGGTTTTATAATAGATACGGGAGAAAAAATTTGCTCAAATCAACTGATGCCTTTTTTTTGGAATATTTAATGCATGTTTTTAAAATGCAAATAGCAAACACCACTGCTTTTTTCACAAATCACAAAGGGATTTCTAATTTTTTCTAGCAATAATTTCAATCTATGTTTTTCTACAAATCTCCATGTTAGAAAAGCTGGTAAGTTTTTCTTTATAACATTCTTTCTATGTTTTTTTTTATTTATAATTGGACAGACAACCATGAATTTTGTATTTGTGAATCATAGCTACTGAATATATTTAAAAAAGTCCATTTTTCATTAATATATAAATATTAAAGGTTCATACTATAGGTTTTGAACAATTTTTTGTAAAGAAAACGCAAATGAAAATCGGTAAAAACCATCATTTTATCAACAAAAGAAAGAACAAAAAATTTGTGCTTCGAAAATTTCATTTCTCAGAAAGAAGAGTTTAAAAAAAAGAGTCTAGGCTTTTATTATTTCAATGATGCACTACATGAAAAAGCAATTGTGATTAGGTTTTCATAAATCTAGCAAACACGAAAAAAAAAATTTATTTAAAAGTTTTCAGACTTTTGAATAATATTAATAACTATTTGTTAAAACAGTCCAGAGTCAAAGAATAGTATACTACTGCAAGTTACCTTTATTCACAATATGGTGGCATTCAGGTGATTTTGTTTCTTGCAAAAATGGTGCAAATTAATTAATAAAGAGGGCAAACTAAAACTAAGTATATGTAAAAATTTATTAAAAAATTTAGTTTGAGCACATGTCAAAAAGTTGATTTGGGCGCTAGAATTTTTCTAATATTCATATACATATGTACATATGTATGGATATACATAATAAATATGTATATACTTGTACTTATATCAGAAAATATATCAACAATTATGTTAATAAATCAACAAAACGGCAAATGAAAATAAAAATCTGGTTTACTTTTGCTATTTGGTTTTGGTTTGCAATCAAGACGAAATACTTAATATAATATAAGTTATGTACATGCACATACATACATTCATAAATGTATGTTAAAAAAACTCGGGATTTATTTTCAAGTTTTTGAATACTTTTTTTTTATTTTAAATTTTTTTTTTAATGTTTCCGCATCTCCAACAATGTACATAGTACACAAATACATTAGAGCATGGATGTCAAAAGTGCGGCCCGTGGGCCGCATGCGGCTATTTTCTTATTTTGGTGCGGCCCTCTAAAACGAATTGTTAAAATATTACAACTACAAATATGCAACCCAATTGGCTACTACAAATATGCAACCCAATATTTTAAGACTTGTTCAACAGAAGCAGTGTCACTCAGCTCCCAGTACTTCTAATAAAAAATAAATAAACGTTTATACACCTTAAAAATTGAATTAATTGTTTTATTTTGTGGCCCTTTTGTCATACAGAATATTGGAAATTGGCCCATAGTTTCAAAAGTCTTGAAATCCATGCATTAGAGGATTTTGTTTTTCTTGTAACCATTTCAACCCTTGCAACATAATCTAAAGGAAATTTTTTATTTATCAAAGTTATAATATAAATTAATTATAATATTTTAGTACATTCATTTGAATAACTCTAGTACAAAATTTATAAATATTTTTATATCTAACACACACTTGTACAAATTTTAATGTCCATTTCAAGATTTTACCAACACACTAAAAGTATGGCACATGGCTCGTCTAAATTGAATTCGTGTGAAATTCAAGTAAAAAAGAAAAATGTACAAACTCCGCCTTTTTCTGTTTTAATCAACAAACAGTTATATATCTAAAAAATATAAGGGTGTGCACTGTATTTTTTTAAGTGTTGGTGTTCAAACCTTAATAATAATATTATAAAAGATAATACAATTTAAAAATATGACAAAGTAAACTAAATCTTTTTATGTGGTTGTTATTTCTGTGCTCTATGAATATGAAATTGTTTTTTAGAATGTGTGCGCACGATTTTTATTTATTTATTATACAGATAAAAAGTAGTAGGCAAACTTATTTGAACATAATGAATGCTTTTTAATCTATTTTATATACGGTCATGCAACATTAGTACATAAATACTTCCATATATATATATATGTATACGTATATGTACTATATTACACTATGTTTATTTCCCCTAATGGGAAATCACCATTTTAACTCTTTTGTTTTAAATTTTAAATAATTATTTTTGGCGTATTTTTTTGTTTATTTGTTTGTTTTCTTATTACTCTTATGCCGGAATCGACATAAAACATTTTTGTTGACCCAACAATTTTGATGATTTTTCTATTTCGAATGTTTTTTTACATTTACTGACTTTGCTTTTTTTTTTTGAAATTTTTGATCAAAATCAAAGAAAAAAGTTTCATTAGAAGTTTATAAAATCAGTAGATCAATATACACTTCTACAAATATTTCATTATTTCTTTAAAAATAGTTATGTATTCAATCCGTTTGAAAATTGAACGACATAAACTCCATTCAAACATAAATCGAAGAAACTTCAAAATAAAAATACGATATAACAAGAACGGTATAACTTTGAAGAATCAGTTCTATTAATCACTAATAATATTTTGCACAAGATACTGCACAATACTTTTTGTCACTCAA